GTAATAAAACCCAAAATGTGTAATTGTCATTGTACAAAAGAAAGGAAAAGAAAGTGCTCTAAAGGTTATAACTGCATATATGTTTAAATGTATAAGATAGATAACCATATTACTGAGTTTTTTTAGATCATTGAACAAAACTGTTTGCACTGTCACTGTTTGAAAGTCCACTTTATGTGCTTCAATTTTGTAACCTGAACAACTATTTCTAAGATGAGAATATGTAATCTATTAACTAGTGATTTCTTACTGTTTACTTTTAAAATTTTGTATTACTTGTACCCTTTTTCTGTTTTTTTCTCCTTAAATAAATAAAAAAAATAACACTTGTTTTCCGAGATTTCTTCATGTCTGTGCCACTCCTGGATGCTGAGATGACCCAGAACAAGGTTCCATCTGAGGCCCAGATGGCAGTGGCAGACCCTTGAGTCTTCTTGCCAATCTTCTGTATCTTTTCATCACATCTTCCTTGTTTCTCCTCTTTGGAAGGGAGGGTCGATTTTCACTCTCTCCATAGGTCAAGCGCTTAACATCAAGAGATCTCTGCCCATCACAGAAAATCGCTTCCCTGAGCCTCAGTTTCCTTATTTATACAATGGGAAGTCATCAGAAGGGTTAAACTAATTATTCTTGATACAAAAGCTAAAATGTAGACTTCTGGGAGAATATGGCAGACAAATAACAGCAGCCATGGAGGGTCTCTGAGATTACCAGCTTAGAAACCAGGAGCGGTGCCATGCAAGGAGTCCTAAGTGAGGGGAGATGTACCCTGCCACTCAGGAACAAACTAAGCTGAGAGAAACCAACTGGAAATGCCATCCTGATGCTATAACAGGAACAGATAAAATCTCAGCGTGGAAGCTGGAGTCTGTGCCACTGAAAGTCGCAATTTGAATTTCCTGCTGCCGATACTGCGTTCCAATCGGCACGGCAGGGAGAGAGACGCACGAAAGCTCTGAGAGCGGGAATCAGCGAACCAAATGGCATTGAGAGGGGGACTGGCAGGGAGCCTTGCATCAACCTGCAGTGAGTGAGAGAAATGGGGACCCTTTCATAGACTAGGAGGCTCCAACAGAGGACATTCTGGGAATGGGCAGACTAGCCAGAACAGGGCCCTGCAGTGACGTTAGTCACATATTCCCCTCTCAAGCGGGATTTGTGGGGAGCGCTTGGCCTGGTGACACCACGGACTAAGATCTAGTAGCCTAGTCCAATCAGGTCTCTGCGCCTGGCGGTGCACCCTAGCAGTGAACCTTCACTAGGTTGATCTGGAGGGATGGGCCCAGCAGAGGCTGCCCAGGTCTGTGTCTCCCTACTACACTGCAATGGGCAGGAACACCTAGCTGGCAGATTCAAACAAACTGTAACAGACAAAGAGAAAAAAAACTGGGCCTCCTACATATGCTTGTATGGAAGGAACAAAAAGTATGGGGAAAGGGAGCAACAAGAAAGGGTCCTCAGTCCCCAATCCTGAGAACACTGATCCAGGAAAGGTAAATGCAAAAGAGAATGAAGACAGAAAACATGCAATATCAGACACGGCACCTATAGATATAAAACAGTATCTCCAGAGCCTCATAGACGAGTGCAAAAATGAAGTATTTAATGAAATAAAGCAAGAAATAAGTAGAATAGTTAGAGAAATGCTAAGCACCGTCCAAGAAAAAACAGATGGTGGGATAGAAGAACAGACAGAAAGGGGAGAATTGTTTGACGGAGAAAATAGAGAAAACATAGAATACATGAAGCAGGTTCAAAGAGATTACCAGGAAACTAAAAACTCTATCGAAAACTGGCATAACAGCTTGAAAGAAACTAAGGATAGATTATCAGAACTGGAGGACAGATTTGTAATGTGGGAGCATGAAATGAAAAACTTCTTAAAAATAACAAGAAAACAAACAGCAATTAATACAAAGGCTAGAAGATGATAAGTGGATCTATAACTTAAGAATTAAGAACATAAAAGAAGAAGTAGGGACACAAACAAATGAACTACAAAAGCTATTCACAGATATAATCCAGGAGAATTTTCCTAATTTAGAAAAAGTAAAGATACTCAGATGTATGAGGCATACAGGACCCCAGCCACCTACAACCCAAACAGAGCTATACCCAGGCATATAATAATCAAAATTCCAGAAATCTAATATAAGAACAGATTATTAAAAGCCGTCAGAGACAAGAAACAGATCACTTACAAGGGAACACCCATCAGAATTACAGCAGACTTCTTGGCACAAACCATCAAATCACGAAGAGCGTGGGGGGAAATAATTCAAGTTTTGAAACATAATAACCTCCAGCCAAGATTGATATATTCTGCACAACTGTTCCTAGAAATTGATGGAAAAACAAGGTGCTTCCAGGATAAAGAGGAGCTAGGGGAATTTGCAACCACCAATTCAACTCTATAGAGATTACTGCAGGATATTCTAAAAATGAAAAATACCAAGATTCCAGAAACAGTGGCAAAGAGGCCACAATGAACAGAGCAGAAAACAAAATGAAGAAGACAAACTGACAACTAATGACAGAAAAAGAGCTCAACAGAAATGAGGCAGAGAAGGTTGGATGGTAGGAACAGCTATTTTGGAGAAAACAAGACATCATAATAGGTAGTGGTGATTTAATATCCTCTTGTTTTGAAGTCCCATCAAGTTTTTGTTCTTCTGTCTCCATCGGTTTTAACATGTTGTATCTTATTGGATTTTATTATATGTGATAATATAAACAAAAACTTTTATAGACAAGGAGATTATACAGAAACCATTGTTCATTTTGTGTTAGTTGATTCTAAATACCCTGAAATACTGTCATTCTCTTGAACAGTTTTACATTGTCTTGATATGTTTGATGCTACAGTATATGAAGTTATACCCAAAGACTTTAAGGGAAGAGACACTATGGTAACTACTTTTATGTCGAGATTATCTTGTGGTGAAACACTATTTTGCGTAAATGGCTATGTTTTGACCTGCGCTGTTTTGTTGTTATGCCCTCTTTTTTTTTATCTCAATCTCCTTTTTATTATCTACTTTTTCTTTTTTTTTTGTCTTTTTCCTTTTTATTGGTACCGGGGATCAAACTCATGACTGCCTGCTTGCAAGGCAGGCGCTTATGCCGCTGAGCTAAACCCCCAACCCCTACTTTTTCATTTTTATCCTTTTAATTAAGGGAAAAATAAATAAAAAATAGCAGGATATATTATAGTAACCCACTTTGATTTCCTATTAACTTGATTTGAAACCCTGTATTGCTCTCACCATCTTGTTTTGGCTGATTTTCCTCTTCTGTTATGCTTGATAGTACCGAGTTTGAAATTATAGGCAACAACTATGAAGTCAATAAGATTTATTATGATTTATTAGTCTGGTTGACTATTATCTTCTTTTGAAGTCCTCTAATGTCTCCAATGTTTTGGTTTTATTGGTCTCATTCTTTACTGTTTTGTTCAATTTTATTATAACTGATGATATAGGCAATTCTTTTTAAGACAACAAGAGGCATTATGGTAACCATTGTTGATCATCTTGTATTTTGTTTTTATATTATGTATTATGTCCATCCTTTTGATTTGACTGACTCTGTCCTGTTAAGTCACATTTGATTTTACTTTCTTCAAAAAAAAAAAAAGTAATAAGAACCGTGAGAGTAATAAAACCCAAAATGTGTAATTGTCATTGTACAAAAGAAAGAAAAAGAAAGTGCTCTAAAGGTTATAACTGCGTATATATTTAAGTGTATAAGGTAGACAACCATATTACCGAGTTTTGTTGGATCATTGAACAGAACTGTTTCCAGTCTCACTGTTTGAAAGTCCCCTCTATATGCTTTAATTTTGTAACTTGAACTATTTCTAAGATGACAATATGTAATTAATGATTTCCTACTGTTTATTTTTTCTGAAATTGTGTATAACTTATACATTTTTTCTGTTTTTTTTCCTTTTTTCTCCTTAAATAAAAAAAAAAAAAAACAAAAACAAAAAAAACAAAACCTAAAATGTAACGGCAGAGCCAGGCATGGTAGCCCATGCCTATCAGGCCAGCACTCTGGGAGGCTAAGTCAAAAGGACTGCAAGTTCCAGCTGGGGATGTAGCTCAGTGTGGACCACTGGACAGCTCTCCCTGAATACAGAACAGTCACCCCCACTTTGGCTAACCCTGGCCCTTTCTCCGTGTACTGTTATGTACAGAGCTGGCTAAACCATTTCGTTCTCTAAGCGGTATAAATAGGGCTGGCTGAGGTGCTGATGTGTAATCTCTGAAGCCAAACGACAATCACTGTTTTCCTGCTTCAGTGTTTCCCTAAATGGTTGAGCACAGCGGATACAGAGCCAACACTCTAAGCTGTCAGCTGGGTTCGATCCTCCTCGAGATAAGAGGCTATGACTCCCCAGGGCAGAAGAGGTTTGCACATCAGAAATGGAAGCACCAGCCTCCTTAACATTAAATGCTACCTCGACTGTGTAATGCAGATTGGTCTTTCTGCACATCCTCTGCATGTTGCAGAGCTGCCTTCTGGCCTCCTAGCTGGCCCAGCTCTCAGTACGTATGTAATCCCCACCATCCTCACAGCCTCTCATCCTGTAGCCGCTCCCTTCTTCATGAACTAATAAAATCCGGGTTACGACCTGGGTTGAGGCCTTTGTCCCAATAAACCTTCAACCAGGTAGGTCAGATCCAGGAATATATATATATATATATAATGCCCATAATTATAAATACGTCTTGGTGTTTTTATTCTCGCCATGGGTTGCATTGGAATGGTAGATTGGAATTAACTCGAAATTCTAATAACGTTTCCATGAGATTACAAACATAAGCTGCCTGAACTATAAACTCAGCGTGAAGGCTTTGGATTCAAACACACACACACACACACACACACACACACACACACACACACACACACAGAATATGAAAGCATTTTTTACAATGTAAAGATAGGATTATCTTTATTACTAACACCTAGAAAAAAGACACTCATACAAAGGCTTAGAAAACATATGCACCATTTATTTTATTGTAGTATGAACTTTTGTTTTTTGTTAAAACACATGAGTATGAAATATTTTTGCTTCTTTGCCGCATTGGGCAGCAGTGATGGGAGTTGGGGGGTCAGTGTGGGACCTAATGACATCTCTGTTCTCACAGGAAGATGCAGGTCATGAGAGGATGCAGTCCATTTCTAGGGTTGCTCGATGTGAATTTCACAATTTATCCTACGATGGATCACAGAAAAATCTGGCAAAGGCAACAATAGGCTTGGCCTTTGTAAGAAATTGAGGAGCATCCAGCTGCAGCCCTCTCCTCTGCTGAGAGCTACCTGGATTCTGATGTTCCTGAGAACTTCTTGAAGAGTAGTCCCGGTGAAGGAATTACTATAATTTCCACACTTGCCTTTCACCAACCCCATTTAGTACATCGGATGTAATGTTTTAGGATCACAATGTGGGTTAAAAAAAAAATTCCAGTGTAGTATCCTCAGCTTAGAACCACGAAAGTAAACTGTTCTTTATTTTGTGTTTCTTGCATTGGAATAAAGTTATTGATGTAAAATGGATTTCTCCTCCAGAAAAGGTGGACTAGGGGCAGAGAAATGACCTGCTGCCCCAGAAGATTGCTACTGTTAAAGGCCACCATTACCCCACTCCATGGGCAGTTCTCTCAACTTTGCTCCCAGAGAGGCCTGAGTGACATTAGTGGCAGGGGGACTGGATGAAGAGCCAGAATGACCAGAATGATTCCAGCTTCTCTGCTTCATGCAGACTGGACTGAGCCATTTGGCTGGGAATTCTGGAGCACTGGGGTGAGGGTGGCTGGGGGAAGCTTGAGAGCTCTGAGCAGGTTGTGGTTGTTCCTACAATCTGAGAGTTGGCTTGCTGGAGTGGGGAGGCCAGTCTTGACAGCTTCAGAATACAGATCCCTCTGAAATATGGCCCCAGTAAGTCTCCATACCTGTCTTGCCACAAGAAACAATCACCAATGGTGGAATATCTGGCTCCTGGGTACAGCTCCCCATCTGCTCAGAAGGGTCAACCTTGGGCAGAGCGTAGGTAACCAGTCTAACAGCTCACTCTCCTACCTAATCACAGCTATAGTCTTAGGACACATTCCTTTTAGTCCCACTGGTCAGTAGCATTTTTCAGAATCCCCCCCAAAGCCATCAAGTTCTACAGGGATCAGGATATAGCTCAGCAGCATGGTGCCTGCCTGGTAAGCACAAGGTCTTGAATTCAATGGCTGGTACCAAAACAAAAAAAAGATTCTTAGAGGGATGATTGGCTGGTTGCCCTATCCTGGGGTTTAATGTTTCCAGAATGTACTTTGAGTGATGCTCGCTAGAGCAAGCCTCAAAGTCAGACTTTATAATCCTCCCCTGCCCTTCATCCATCTATAGACTGACAGACCAGATTGGTTTGTCTCCCAGGAACAAGATCCTTATTGCCCCTCTGCCAGAGTTTAAGAGTGAAAAGCAGTCAAGAATCATGAATTTGCCTTCATATTTATCAGCAAACAGGACTCTGAACCTTCAGTGGACCTGAGTGTTGGCAGGTCTTCTAAAAAGATGAGCCTCTGGGTTCTGAGGCTGGTGAAGGACCAGAGAGTCCCTCAATGGGATCACAGTGAAAACAGGGGTTCATACTGTGATCTGGGGAGACCTGGGTTCATGACCTGTCTCAGTCACTCACTATCTGTACGAGCTTTAGACTTAAAAATCCCTTAACTTCTTAGAACTCAGCTGTACCTTCAGAAATAGTCTCTAGGTAATAGAGAGGGTTCCATGAGACACTGGATGTCTGATGCTTAACGCAGAGTCTGGACAGGAGGATGCGCTTGAGACAGGCCTAGGAATAATCAACTTCAGTCTCATCTGCAGATCATCCACCCCCTGCTTGACTCTCAAACCTCTCATTTTCATTACATCTTGAGCCCCATCCGACTTGCTGCTCCCTCCCAATCTTGCACCCTTTGAAGGATGCTGTATTAATCTTCTGACAGCCTGGGCCCTCCCTCAACACCACTCCTGGCCTCAGGATGGCATTCAAGGCCCCATGCTCCCACACTCTCCCAAGTCCCATTGCAGCTGTTAACCTTGGATTGTTTGCTTATTGTTCGAAGCCCACAGGGACCATCACTCCAAGAGCTCACCCCAGTGCTTGAAGAAGGGAAGCGAGGCAGGGCCAGAGGAGGAGGGATGGTGTCATGCTGCCGGCAGTCTCCTGCCTTGATGAGCCCCAGTCAGCGCTTATAGAGTGTTCCAAGATGCCTGGGGAATGGCTTAAAAGTCCTCCTCGGCCTCCAGAGAGAGGAAAGCTGGCCAAGGAAGGTGACAGCAGAAGGCAGAGAGGGAATTTGAGGTGAAGGCCAGTAGAAGAGGGAGCAGTAAGGTGCCACGACCTGACCCAACCTCACAGGGCTGTGACTGGACACCATAACCAGGAGGAGAGAGCAGGGTCCCAGCTGCGGGGAGAGGGAGCTGTGGCTAAGCAAGGCCCCATGCCGCTCCAGTCAGCTGTCCTTAGTGGGTGAAGAAGCTGGGCTTTGGATGAAGGTGGAGGTGGTGGCTTCAACACGAGGCAAGTTGTCCCAGGCAGCAGAGGGCTTTCCAGCTGGTGTCTCCCCCAGTCAAAGCCCTATCGTCCGGAGCACGGGCTCAAGGGTGGCAATAGGATATGGCCCTCGGCCCATGTTCCTGGGCTCTTTCCCCTTTCCATTCCTGCTCTGGAACTGGCCCTCTTGTCACGCCTCCTGTGGCTGTGACCAAGCAGTCACTGGGCATTCTGTGAGGGGGCTGGGGTGAGCTGGCAGAGCCCCGGCCCCAGGCAGCTAGCTAGATGACTTCCTGCTTGGTGATGGTCGTCTGGGGTATGGCAGAAGGGGGCTTGACGATCGTGGCAATGGCTCCTGGCAGGAGTTTGTAGGGCTCGGACCCTGAGCCACCAGGCGGTGAGGGTTGTGGAGTCTCAGGCGTGGCTGAAGGGACAAAGAAACAGAAGCTGCTTAAAATTCCAGGCTCTGAGGAAGTAAATGAAGAGCTCTAGGAAAGTTCTTCCTTTTCTGTGAGACTTAATTTCCTCTTTCATAAAATGAAGTAATTAAACTAGATAATCTCGAAGGTCTCTAATGGCTTGATCATTCTACAAATTCCAAGTCATAAAATTTAAGTTCTGTGAGGCCTGGTAGGTCCGACCACCCATCTCCTCCATCCTTTTGTATGGACACTTAGGTGACTTCTCCCAAAACCAGAGTCCAGGTTGGACTGTCCTGTGACATCCCCAGTGATACATTTAATAGGGATGGTCTTTCTTGGGACAAGGAGTAGCAGTTGGTGGAATCTGGGGTTAACTGGCATCAAAAGTACCATTTCTTTGATATTTAGGAAATGAATAACAGAACCAATTGGTTCCATTCCCTCCAGTGCATGGCTAACTCCATTCAATGGACAGTTTTCCCAAAGAACAACTTTGATGAAATACCATTTCATCTGAGTGAACCACTGCACCCCAGGGATAATCTTATTCTCTGGAGATCTGTGTCCAATGAGAGATTTCACCTCGGAGGTCTAGTCCAGTGGACATCCCTACCTAAATGACAGTCTCCTCCAATGGTTTAACAGACAGCCTCACCCAGTTGGGCAGCCTTCCTTCAGTGAACACTTTGACCTAACAGATAATGTCCCCTAATGGACTTCTCACCCAATGGTAACTATCCAGCGGATTGGCTCATCCCAAGTACAGTTACATTTAGTAGAGGTTGTCAGTCACCCTACTGAAGACACATCCTCACCGAATGAACAGCTCTGACAAACCTCACCCCCATTCCCTACCCCAGAACACAGAGAACAGTTGTACCCCATTTTCACCTCTAGACTCAACCTCCTCCCCTGCCCCTCCCATCCGCACCCCGGTAGGGGAGAACCCATGTTGCCCACCTGCCTGCCCCCTGGGTTGGGGCCACTCACACATCTGTCCGTTGCTGAGGTGAGTGGGCATTGTGTTGGCAACAATGACATTGGTGCCCATGTGCTCCTGCATCAGGTGAGGGTGCAGCGGGTGGTGAGCATGAGGTGCATCACTGGAGGACCCTGCAGATGGAGGAGAGGTTGATCAAGAAAGAGAATCAAGGATAAGGACCAGGGGCCTGGAGTCACCATCTTCCTCAGGCACGACTAGGCTGCCTCAGCCCTGCCAGAGCCTACGTGACTCTTGGTCCTGCATTAGTAAACCAGAGCTACCATTCAAGTCCATAGGTTTCCTGGGGATACTGAGAGGATGCAAGAGACCCAGAGAACAAGTGTGATTTCAAAGAAACTAGGAGCACAAGAGGAGCTCTAACTATAATAATTAGTGTGTTGGCCGCACAGTGATACAATGGATTTAATCAGTGTTTCTCAAAGTCCTTTCCAGGTGAGTCCTCTGACCTCAGGTCCTCTCTCTGCTTCACCCTTCACATCTCTGCTTCGGCCAAGCTGCCCACCTGGCGCATCTACTTTTCCTAGTATTTTCTGATCTTTGTGTCTTCATTCACATTGCTTCATCCACCAGAGATGCCTTCTCTGTCCTCTGCCAGGTCTGTAGACCCAAATCCCACTCAGATATTTCATCATTTTGGAAATCACTTTTATTCTATTTCTTCTCCTTCACCAGAATTCCCATTGTAATTTATCTGAAATGCACCTTTTGGAAACAAACACTTCTGTCTATGATTTTTACAATTATAGCCACATTTTACTTTTCTTTGAGGGCCTAGAAAGTGCCTGGAGTACGGTAAACGATTCAACAGGATTCAGGGAGTGATAGAAACAGACAGTGTGTGTAATAGGCTGTGGTCATTAATATGCTATTGATGGAACTTTAAGCCTTGTAACAAATAGTCTTCTATCCTTTGTTTTAAGGTTAACTAACAATTATTGAGTATCTAACATATGCCAGGTACTAGTTTATAGCTCTTCTCATGTTTTATACAATTAATCCTTGAGGGTGGATACCATTATTATCTCATTAGATAAGATAATGTATCTAGAGAGATTAATTTACCCAAATTTATATGGCAACAGATCACAAGATACTAATGCCAATCCCAATGAAACCTGATTCATAACAACCCCATATTCACAGAGTCAATATGAAAGTGAAATAAACTGCTGGCTGGGCCTGGTGGTACATGATTGAAATCTGAGCTCTCTGGGAGGCTGAGGTAGGAGGACTGCAAGTTTGAGCCCCACTCTGGGCAACTTAGGGATTTAGCAAGATTCTGTCTCAAAATAAAAACTAAGAATAAAGAAGGCTGAGAATGTAGTTCAGTGCAAAGGCCTTGGGTTCAATCCCTTGCACTGAAGGATTAAAAAATGCCACTGGTGGTTGACAGCAGTTGGAGATAATTGGGGATAATTTTGAACCCCTTGGGAGACATGTGACAATATCTGTGGACATTTCTGGCTGTCATCACAACAGAAGTGCTACAGATGTCTCACAGGCAGAGGTTAGCGATGTAGCTAAACAATGCACAAAAAGTCTCTCAGCAAAGAAGCATCAGTCGTGCTCACAGACCCTTCCTTAGCACCACGTACTTCTCCTCCGAAGCCTTCACTGCAATCCTCCACACTTGGTTTCTCCTCCCGTCCTTCCAGCTCACTCCGTCCAGGACCATCCCTGAGAAAGGCCTTCAGGCCTACTGAGGTGATCCTTTGCCCACTCCCACTTCTCACCATCTATCTCCCCATCTTTATGTTTCATTTAATTTAAATGGGCAGCAGCAGCCAGGACTCCAGGGCCCGTCATTGTGATTCCCCCCTTGAGGTCATCCTTGGCTCCCTCACAGGACATTTTCAGAGGATTGTCTGCTAAGACTCCACTTGTCTCCTTCCCCACTGACTCGCTCTGTAACACCCCCGTCTGGCTTGTATTCTCATAATCCTCTAACACTGCTCTCAACACAGGTGCTGAGAGCCGCCATGTTGCCATCCAATGGACACCTGCTTCCCTCTCCCTGTCTGTCTCCTATCTCAGTTGAATTCAACACCATTAATGTTCTTTCTTCCTGAAAATACACCTTCTCTTGTGTTCTGGAATTTTCTGGTTTTCTCCCACCTCTCTGGCTAAACAGCTTTCCATGGCCTCCTTCTTCCTTGTGACTCCTAAATGCTGGAAAGCCACAGTGCTGCTTTCACTTCAAGTTTGAGCTTGAGACTTGGACATTTAGCTGCCACCTTGATGGCTCAGCATGGAGTCCTAATAGTCCCTTCAGGTTCCACTTAAATCCACTTAATGGATCTCCTGGGGACACGCTGGCCGCCATCCCCAACCCCAACCCCAAGCTGGTTTACTCAGTGTTCCATAGCTCAGGAAATTACTGCATCATCATTTCTGCCACCGAAAGCAAAAATGTAGACTTCGCCCTTGACTCTCCTCTCCCCGTCACTCCCCACCTGTGATCCGTCAGCACATTCTGGGAGTTTTCCTTGGAATATTGTAGATGGCCAAGTTTGTCTCCACAACTCTGCTTCCATGATCCAAGCCTCCCCTGCGCTTCCCATGAGTGGAGATAGTACCATTCCCAGGCCTCTCTGGCCTCTCCCTTCTGCCCCCAAAATTTACTCCCTACCCAACAGTCAGAGTGGTTTGTTTGAAACATTTGTCTGATTGTTTTTACAATAGGTGCCATGCGAATAAAATCTGAATTTTTGACCATGGCCTATGAAGTCATACGTTCGCAATTTTGTTTTTCCCTAATCTGTTTTCATCTCATACAACTCTACCACTTCACAACTTTGCCCTTCCTTCTCAGACACACAACCTTTTCCTGCTGCAGGGCCTGGAACTAATTACTTCTGCTTGGAATGCTCCTCTCTTGGCCTTTAAAGCTTCCATTTCCTTTTGGCCATCAGGTCACAGCACAAAAGTCACCCCTTTCGTGAGGTCTCCTTTGGCCAACTCATCTAATGACTTTTCTTGCTTAAACTCTATACACTACGTGTTTATTTAAAAATCTAGAGTTACCTTCTTTATTGTGTACTTGTTATCATCTGTTCCTGATAAACCTTTTGCACGCACACGCGCACACACACACACACCTGTACACACACTCTGAAGGAAGGCGGAGATCTTGTTCTCCGCTGGGCCTCCAGCACTTTCAACAGTGATGGCATATTCTAGATTCTCAGCCTAAACTAATGGACTTCTGTCCTTGTTCCTATTCTTTTGATGAGGAAACCGAAAGCCAGGCAGATTAAGCAACGTGCCCAGAGCCACACAGTGAAGCGGTAACAGAGGTAAGCTCAGGTTTGCACAAGGACTTTCCTGGACAGGGGCCCCCAGCACTGCTCCGGGGCCATACGGACCTCCCAGCAGCATCTCCTGCAGCAGGTTGTCGATCTTGGCCATGCCAAAGAGCTTGATGAACTGGATCTGCTCAATCATCTGCCAGGTGATACTCTGCAGCGTGGGAAGCAGCAGCAGCAGCTCGCCAAAGCGGCCGCGTGAGTCATACTGGCGGTCATTGATGTAGTCCTCCAAGCTCACCTGGACCTGGGAGCGCAGCCGCTTGATCTTGCCTGGGTCGCTCAGCCCCTTGGCATCTGCAGCGGGAGGGAATGGCAGGGAGATAAGTGGGACCCAGATGTCCCCCACGTGTGGGGTCCAGGTTGGAGAGTGGAGTGACCCAATGCTGCATGGAGAGTCCACAACAGTGCTGAAACAAAGATTTGGGGTGTTCAACAACTACAGCACCCTAGCGCAGATGGTGCCTCCCCAGATCTGGGTAAACATATATATATATATTTCCTCCTAAGACACCAAGTGCAGGAGTGACAGAGAGATGGGGTACAGAAGGTGTGATCTCAGGAAGAGGCTCAGTAGGGCACACTCATTATACACATAGGCACACTGAGGCATGGGACAAGGAAAGGACTTGCCTCAGGTCACACAGCCAGGTGTTGGCAAAGCCACGAGGTTGACTCTGGGTTCCTGACCCACAGCTGAAGTCCCATGAGCCAGACCCCAGCACACGCTGCCTCTGCTGCACTGAGCCCTTCCCCACCTGCTGTTCCTGCCGTCTGTGACTCAGCGGAGGCTTCACCGGCTCCAGGGAGTCCTCTCCACCCTACCCTCCTAGGTCCCGTTACACATCCGTCAGGCCCCTAAGTTTCCTCCTCACTGTTCACCGCACGGGCTGGAATCATGTCGTGGTTAGGCCACGAGCAGTGCATGAGTAGGCACGGGTCCTTTATTGCCATTTTAAACTGAGTATCACACCACACACTACTTCATAGTTAGTACTTACAGACAGATAACTGGAGGAAGGAGAGAGGAAGAAACGATGATGTAAAAAAAAATGAGTAAATTCTATATCCTTAATTCAATACATTATTTTTTGTACTTTAATCTCATCTTCCATGAAAATAATTATGAGCAAAGGAAGCAGCAATAAAAGAGTTTGCCCTGGTTTTTAGTGGGCTTTCTTCACTGCATATTCAGTCAACAAACTTTCCTTGAGCACCTCCTACACACCGGGCCTGCATGACGTCCCCTGCCTTCCCAAGCAGGCTGTGGTCTCTGTCTCGGCACCATAATCCCACGCTAGCCCCACATGTGTTACTGAGCGCTTTCTTCCTTCCCAGCTTTGTGTCAAGCACTGCACAACATAGAGCCTAGGCCAGACTCTCGGCAAAACCAGAACCAGAAATCTCGCCCTCCAGACACTGGGGAATAGTGTGTAGAAGGTAAGAACATGGGCTTGAGAGATAGCTAGGTGTAGACTGATGAGCATTTGCTGTTACTACCAGAAGTGATCTGTATGCTGACAGTGCCTGGCACACAGTAGGTCCTCTCTGACATGTTAGAGGGGAGGGAGGCGTATGCGCCTCTGGCACTGTGGCACCACGACACTGGGGAGAGAAAGCAGGCTTGGCACAAAGATGTGACTATAAAGATGTTTTGTTTAAAAAAAAAAAAAGGTAAGTATAAGAGTCAATAGGTGGAATGGAGACGGGAGAGCAGAGCAAAGGCTGGTGAAGTATCTTCTCTTGCTGTGTTCAAGGTTAGGAGACACTGTCCCCAGGTGACAGGACCAGAAATAAAGTGTGACAACGTAACTGAGAGCCGCAGAGGTGACCAGGCGGGCATGAACAGTAATAAAATTCCATGGGGAGTATGGGGGGGAGATGGGAATAGTGGTGGGTGAGAGTGAACCCCATAGCCAGAACAGGTGGAAATGCATGACCTAAAATGGATAAACCAAGCACCATGGGGCTGGGGTTGCAGCTCAGTGGCCGAGGGCTTGCTAGCATGTGCTATCCCTCGCTCCACAAATACAAAACAAAACAAAATGAGAAATACAATGCTTAGCAGTTTTTCAAACTGTGAAAATAACAGCAAAAGAAATAGTTGAAAGACTCAGATATGTATCCTGGAGCATAGGCTTTAGGCTGGAAAAGTCAGGTGTGTTGAAGAGAACGACTTGCACTGTCAGTTTGTAGAGACTATCTTGATGAAGTTTTTTGAGGAAAAGAAACAAGGGTTAAATAAAAGGAAGATAGAGTTCAGGAGAAAGGGGAAAAGGGGGAGGAGGGAAAAAACTGTCTAGGCCTTTGGAGTCAGGGCCTTGACAAGTTCCATCACCTCTTTGAACCTCGATTTGCCTCATCTATACAATGGGGCTGATGAAACAACCGATCCTGATGTCATGACAATAAGATAGGCTGTGAATCCAGCAGAAGTCTAACAGAAGGTCTAGGGCATCAGGGATGGGTTAGGACAGTGGTGGCGAACCTACGGCGTGCATGCCACAGTGGGCTGCTTGCATCGCTGATAGCTCTGAAAGTTTTGCCATCACTGGGACAGGAGGTGAGAATAGTACCTGGGTCAAAGAAGATGATGGCTTTGAGGCAGGCATACTCATTGTCATCGATCTGCAGCTCCTGGAAGGGTAGCACCAGCTCGTCCAGGATGCGAACGGACACTCGGCTCATCTCGGCCAGCTCTGGGCAGTGCCGGGGGACAATGTAGTCATTGCCTGGGTGGGGTTGGGAGGGAGAGAGAATGGGCAGTCACATTGGGCTGGGGATTGCAGATGGTAATGAGCTGATACCATGGAAGGAGGATCATCACACCCACTGACAAATCAGAGACTCAGATAACAAAGGTGCTTAGAATTGGGTTATAATTCAAACTTAAGTTTTTTTTAGGGCTCCTTTCATGTCAGCCAGGCTTCTTTTACCAATCTGACTCAACACTGGGACATTTGAGAGGACACTTGAGAGGGAGAAAAACACCAAATTTAAGGGGCCAGATTCTGGAGCTGGAAACTATTTGTTTAGTACTTGGATTTATCTCAGGACCTTTGCACATCTCCAGCCCTTTCTTTATTTTTTATTTAGGACAGGGTCTCATTAAGTATTTAAGTTGCTCAGGCTGAGCTGGAATTTGCAGCCCTCCTGCCTCAGCCTCCCAGAGCACTGGGATTGTAGGTGTGCACCACCACAGTAGCACTGTTGTATTAAAAGAATACAGCATAGCTTCTGGCATACAGGGTGTGTCCCCAGCCTCCCCTTGGTCCTACTCCAAAGAGAATGGTAAGCACAGATGATTCCAGGAATAACTGTCTATGCTCTAACTTGAAGGCTGGGGAAATTTCATTCCTCGTATCCTTGATTCCTGGTTGAGGAGTTGAGAACCAAGTCCTGGCAGGCTCTGTTGGTAAGCCTGAGCGAGGACAGGGCCACCCTCGATCTGTTCCCGCCACCCTGTGTGCCACCACAGAGGCAGCCTTTGCTCGAGTGTGCTCCACACAGGGCATCCCTCCATGGAGACCCATCTGGGACCGGCAGCCTCCTCACCCAGGAGCAGCACGTCCTTGAACACCATGGATCGCTTGGTGGCTCCCAGCAGAAGGTGCTCACCGGCGTGGGCTCTGAGCAGGGCCACCTGGAAGACAGAAGGGATAGAGTCTGGCCTCTGCACCCCTGGGGAAGGCAGCTTAATGCTCCCTGCTGCTCCTATTGACTGAACTATGAAATGAACATCATAAAACTGCTGTCTTCCTCCCATGACTGATAAAATTAGGGACCCGGAAAGCAATGAGCAGAACAGAGGCCTCAGAGCTGGGATGGCTCTCGTTGACTCTGCCCTTGAACTCCTGTGACCTTGGGCCTCATCTGTGTGTCTGGAGCATCTATGCACTCTGAGAACTCTTTTGAGCAGCTCTGATTCTCAAAATACCCTGTTAACCTAAGCATCCTAAAACTGTGGATCCCAGATTCCTACCCCTGGACCAGCCACAGAGACTCCAGAAAGATACTTTATGGAAACAGATTTTTAGACCCAACTACCAGAGATTCTGCTTCTGGATGTGTCAGGAGAACCCAGGAATTGGCATTCAACAAGCTCCTCAGTTGACTTGGGGGAAATCACTGGTCCAGAAAATCTCCAGGGCATTTGTCTGCTTGGCATTGCAGGATTCTAGTATTCTGAGAGAACATTACAGAAATTTGGATGTGGATATAGGTTCTCAGAACTGGCTTGTCCTAAGGCACAGGTTCAGCAGAGACAGCAGCCAGCCCTCTTCCCCACGGGGAGGAGCAGTAGCCCACGGAGACTGAAGCCTGAGGCTGGGGCCCGGCAGGCACAGGAGACACTGCCCTGCCTGTGAAGCCATCTGCCCAGCACTTGGGTGGGGACCACCGCTGGGCTAGACTAGAGGATTTAGTCTGCGAGGTGGGGCTGGGAGTTTGGAGGTTCTTTGGCAACCCCAAGGAGTAAGGTTAAAATTCTGCTTTTCTGTCCTTGATTTGATAAATGTTACACATCTATAAGTGCCAGACACTTCTAGACAATGGGGCACAAAGGTGAAAACAGAGGGACAAGGACTCTAACCTTACAGAACTCATGTAGGATGGGTGACAGTATGTGAAGTAGGAAAGAAGGGACTAGGACAGGGGCGACAGTGCTTTGAGGAGGAGGGAGGGGAGAAAGGAAGCAGGAGAGGAAGAAGGGAGGAAAGGAGGGAGGGAGGAGGAGGGGAAGGCTGTGTGGCAGAGAGCAAAGGGGCAGGGGTAGCTGCGTGACGTGGCAGGTCAGGGAGGGCCTTTCTACGAAGGCAAAGAAGTTGTAAGGCCTGCAATAACCCTGGCATATACTAAGTTTCGGTATGTATTTGTTGGATGGATGGATGGATGAGTGGATGGACAGAAGGGAGGGAGGAAAGAAAAGGAATGGATGCCTGAGTCAACATCTTGTCTTCCTTTCCAGGTCTATTCCCGCCTGGCCAGTCCCATGTCTTCGCCCCTCCCGTCACCCCATTGCCAGAATCTTATGAGCAAGACTTAAAAAGAAAAAATGGGAATACTTGGAGATGCAGACCTAATTTCCATGAGCAGCACACAGGGAAGCAAGGGTGATAATGACCAAGCACCTCAAATCATTCAGGGGCTTGTGCAGAGTTCCAGCCAAACCAGTGGCTCCCAAACTGTAAGACGAAGGGCCCATATTCAATCCCAGCTCTGAGGCCATCTTGCTCTGTGTTTTGAGCTGTCACTTTGTCTCCCTGGTCTCAGTCCCTTCCAGCTGTACCCAGCCTTCTAGGTCTCAGTGAGCTTATGTCCACAAACCAAGATGCACACAAACTTGGAAGCCTGTTTCTGTGACAACATTGATTTAAGAATGATGTCCTTTGGAGGACGGTGTCCCCCAGATCTCCAAGGCTGGGAAAGATGGCCTCCTTATGCAGCTATGAATGAGTTTCCAGGTCCACCCTGACATGGCAGCTGTGCTGGGGAGTGGGCAGGCAGGGGGTGGTGGCGTTAATGATTGTCCTGTGTTACTGGCTACCCATCACTGCCCTCTGAGAATGCTCTGAGCCCCAGCCAGGGAGGTTTGGGTGGGAAATCGAGGTTAACAATTGCTCAGCTTGGGGGTATCTTGTCCTGCTAAGCCCCTGGGAAGGAACAGAGGGGATTAAACATTAATGCAGACTCTCCAGCAGAGGGACTGGGGCCAGAGCACAAGTGGCTGGGAAGAAGGCAGGGGCAGTTTAGACAAGATCCTTGGCACATCAATTTTCCTAACACAACGAGGAATCCAGGGAAGAGGTCTCTGGTCCAGCTACTAAGGAGCAGCCAAGCCAGGATTCTCCTAGGGCAACCACTGGCCAACCTCACAGTGGCCCAAAAGGCTCCAGCCAAAGGAATTGGGGAAACACTGGTTTCACGGAGAGGCAGCTGCCTGGCTGCAAGTCTTCTGGAAGCTTTCAGAGGCAGGCATGCATTGTCAGTGTCCCATGCTTCCTTCAAAGCTGGACAGGTACTCCAGTGTAGCTGTCCTTTCTCAGGTAAGGACATTTTCAAAGAGGCCACGGGCTGCTCTGGCCAGAGCTGTCACATATAATATCTCAGAGGTTCCCCTGTCCTCAGACACAGTATCCTTCTCCAGCCCTTTCCCCAGAGACATTTACAGTACTCCAGAGAACGCATGTTAGGAAAGGAAATGCTGGGTTAAGTCATCTTTGTGGATATAAGGGAGAAACCAGCACAGGGGAGGCCAGCTGTGGTCAACTACGTGTGCTCCATGATCCTGTGCTTTTCAAACAGACTCACTACGCTTCCCCTGCAGAAGGAGTTGTCACTTTTCATCTGTAAATGAAATGCCCTTCTTCCAAAGAGTCTACAGATTTCCACCCCCAAATTTGCTATGCATACACCCAGCTTCAGACTACGATACTCCTCTCTTTTTGAGGGCCTGTGCTCTATTTCTTTTGGTTTACTTTTAAAGTTTTGCCTTAAGAAAAAGAAATCTTTTTATGCTTCTTCAAAAAAGAAGTAAAAGAAAAGATACCAAGTCCATCCTCAGTCCTCCCGATAGCACTTTGGGGTGAATAATTCCCACTTGGCAGATAAGAGGACAGAGATTCAGAGAGAGGGAGTGACTTGGTCGAGGATGACCCAGGAAACGCAGAGCTTCAGGCCGATCCCCACGTCCCTGGGCCTGAGTCCCTGTCACTACCTCCCCACCCCCACCTCCCGGCCAGGAGAGCTATGCAGCGCTGGGGTGAGGAGCCCGAACTTTGCACTTTGGAGCTTCCCTGGCTAAGTTCTAATCCCAGCTGTGCTGGATACCAGTTATATGACCTTGAGCAAGTTACTTAACCTCTCTCTGTCCTTGTTTCCTCACCTCTAAGATGGGAAGAAGAGAAGCATCTATCCATAGACACCCGGAGGATTCTGTGAGCTAATATTTACAACTCAAATGTGAGTGCTATGTGTGTTTTGTTGAATAAGCCAAATCCATCCATTTCCATGTTACATCCCAGGAGGGCCAGCAGGACCCTGGCAGCCCAGTGCCCAGCGTTGTCCACCGAGCCTTTCTGCCCTCACCTGGTCGTCCAGCGGGAGCTCACAGAAAGCCGGGATGTACTTGGCCCACTCCACCAGTACCAGCAGCTGCTCCTTCATGGACTCACACACGTCTGCAATGTTGGCAATCTTCTTGGCCCGAATGTCACCATTGATTCCGGAGACAGGGGAAGTGATCTGCAGGAGACAAGAAGTGCTGTGGCTGGCAGCTCCCCATCTCCTGTCTCTTGCATGAGGCCTGCTCCCCAGAAAGTTTCCCTGTGTGTACTTCTAGCTCTGGAAGGAAGCTCATTGGAAACAAGGGAGGACCCCAAGATGAGGGAAGGGGTTCCCTATGGACTGTTGCTGCCCCTGCCTTCTCCTCCAGCCCCTAAGAACCCAGGAGCCCTTGTCCCTAGTGAGGCAAAAATCACCACCCCCATCTTGTAGATGAGACACTGTCACCAGAGAGGTGCCATGACTTGCCTAAGGTCATGCAGCGAAGGATGGGGGCAGATCCCCTTTTGGTAACCGGATCCAGTGATCCTGTTTCCCTGGAGCTCATCTCAGGTTCTCATAGCCCCGCTTGGTCTGTGAGCGAGCTGCCAGATGAACTGTCCAGTGCTGAGAACCCCAGACCTAGGGTGAGTTCTGTCTTGGCTACTGAACTAACTATGGCATTGGACTCAGTTTCCCTGTGCTCCAGGGCCTGGCTAGGAAGGACAGAGATAGAGGAAGTGAGACTCTGCAGTGTGGGATGTGGATGGGAGCGTGGCCCATACCTGCTGGGACAGGACCTCTGCCTGCAGGAGCGCGTTGATGGAGGGCAGGCTGCTGTCCTCATAGCTGGACCTCCGTGTGCTGATGCGGTCCCGCTCGTTCTGGACAGCTAGGAGGGGCAAAGAGAGAACTGAGGGGGGAAGCAAATGGGTAGGGGAGGTGTGGGGGAGAGAGCTCTATCCAGGGGGTGCCAGGTAAGGGGGACACTAGTGGGGATGGCAGGGCAAGGGGACACCCACAGCAGGGAACCCAGCTTAGTATGCAGGAGATGCAGAGATGCAATCTAACTCAGCTCACAGGAGAACTTTCCAGACACCAGAGCAGCCCCCCTCATGGTGGGGAGTTCCTGCGGGATTTACTGGCCCATGCCCAGGGGCATAGAATATAGCAAAAGGCTGAGGCAGGGTCTGGAGCACTGATGGGGGCTCTCTTTTTTTTTTTTTTTTTTTTTTTTTTTTTTTTTGGTCTTTTTCATTTTTATCAGTACCAGGGATCAAACTCACGACTGCCTGCTTGCAAGGCAGGCGCTTATGCTGCTGAGCTAAATCCCCAGCCTCTAAGTGGGGGGGCTCTCTTGAGATCACAGATCTTCAGGCTCTATTTAGGAGACTGTATCTCTCTAAGTGAAAGTATATAGGAGAAAAGCAAAAGAAATTGCTCCATACGACACAGCTGACCCAGGGATTCCTGAACACCAGGCAGAAGCTGTGGACAGGACACTTGGAGACCCCACCTGCCTGGCAGCCTGTCCTCCATGCCCAGTCTACAAGATGAGACCACCTCCCTCTTGCCCCATGCTGACCACTCTTTTAGAACACAGGAACCAGGACATCTGTCCCCACAGTCCCCAGGCCCACCATCCGCCCCAATCTGAGTCCAGGCTCAAGATACCAGATGGCCTTTCCACCATCTGGGCCACCCCTTGGCATCCACAGTGCCTCACTGGGGAACCAGGATTTGCTGAGGGGAAGCAGGGCAGAGGAGGATGTGGAAGGCTTGAGCTCCTGCCAACGATTTGCCTCTTGCTCTGTGCTCCTGGGAATAGCATCTTCTTGGAGCCTCAGTTTCCCTGCCCAAAGCTTTCCTTCTCCTCAGCCTCTTCTATCTCTTCCCTCTCATCTCAGGACCTGTAAGTGGACTCTCCCAGTCCCCCTGGCCAACCTTGTCAGGCACCTTCTTCTCCCCTAAACTGCCAGAACAGCCCCTTTTTCAGACTATACCCCTTTATTCTAGTTTTTTTTCAAGGTACCTATGACAGAGCGACTTATTAATTTCTTTATTGTTTTTATCCCCCACCACGCAGGAAATTCCAGAAAATCATAATTCTCTGGCTTGCTGCTGCCACCTCTGGACCCCAGGGTAGGGCGTGCGCAGCAGGCACTGGATGAGATGCGGCTCACTCTCACCAGCACCCTGTTTCTCCCTGGAATGCTGACACCCAGCTGTTCAACTTCCTGTTGACTCTATACATTGTTAAAAGCCAAGTATAAAAGTCAACGGGGTACAGTAGAGATGCCAGGTAGGGAAGCTCCCCTCGCCGCTCCCCTGCCCAGCCCACCACACCCCTCCCTGGCAGCAGCCGCACCCAGCAGGGCGCCGGGGGAGGCAGGGAATGAAAGGGCCACAGTCAGCAGCTGCGGATAGGGCTCCTCAAGGTTAGCTGGCCTTATCAGTGCCCAGCTCGAGCTCAGTCACGGAATGATGTTTTCCAAGTGTTTGCTCAGTATTAGCAGGGTCGGGGACCTAATGTAACTTCCATTGAATATTAACCGACGTGGCCAGAGGCAGAGAGGAGATGGGCTCATCTTTCTAGAGGACCCCAGTGGGGTCTGGGGTGCTCAGCCAGGTTTCTGAGGAAGGGCTCATTAGATGGTCCTGGCCTGGCACCATCCCCTGAGCTTCTGATGCCACAATCTGGATATTCGTCATGAGCTTAACAGCAAGACCAGGCAAGTGTCCATCTCTCTGGTCTCAATTATAGGACACAGTTTTCCACCAGTTGTAGCTTTCTAGCCTCTCAAGTTCTCTCTCAGGAATCTTTGCTCCTCCAGGGAAGGCCCTTCCAGCCACAGAGGGATATCCTCTGACTAGGACAGACTGGCCACTGGGATTTGAAGCCCTCACAGAAGTACAGAGGAAGCTTCAGAATCCTGACCAGAATATGCCTGCCACAGGGATCACTCCAAGTTTCATTCCAGTGAGCTTGATATCTGCTCACCTCTGAGGGGTCCGAGTTCTAGACCTGACTCCACTCCACTCCTACCTGTGAAGTGGGGCGGGGGTTAGACCTGATGACTGCTAGATCCCGCTAGTCTAGAGACACTACATTTCCAGCTCACCCTTTCTGATCTCTGACAACCACTGTTAGGTTTCGGTCCTCAAATCTTCTGGTGGGATTTGCCATTAAGGAAAATCAGTGAAAATATTGTTTCAACTCGCCTAGACTGTGAGGCTTCTACTGACCTCACTTGGCTTTGGGAACTTCCCTTCAGGCTGAGGAGGGATGTTGGAGACTGGCAGACTTCACTAGTAAAGTTAGCAAAAGCCAACTTTCCAGGGATTGGCTGCAGGGCTGTGGAACACTGTGCTACTATGACCCGGTTTCCAAGCTATCTTGTACTATGGTCTTCTGTTAACCCAGGCATGCAAATAAGCACCAGCGTGTACTAGCCCACTCTACTTGCCACAGCAAATCTGCTATTCTCCTGGCATTATGCCCATTTTCCTGGCTTTAGAGACAGGAGGCTGTTTTTCAAGGTTGAGCTAGGGCTGAATGGACTAGGGCTCCCCACCACTGCACCCTAGGAGCTGGGACCTAGGGTCTGTGGACCTGTGAATCATTATATACCTCCCTCACTTTGTAGATGGGAAAACTGGAGCACAGAAGGTATGGACACTACCCTCTGGATATTTAACAAAGACTGACCACATATAGGACAAGGCCACAGGTAGCCTAGGAGTTAGCCACCCACTGCTAACTCCCTTCCACATGCTGGTATTTCTACATAGAAGATTGATTCTGTCAAACAGTGCCTCTTAACACCCTTTCTGGACAGTCATAGCCCCTAAAGTCTTAGGTTACTGGGATAATAGAATCATGGACATTAGAACCTCAGACTGTAGTTCTCAGTCTGGTCTCCAGTATTCACAAAAGTGCACCACATTCTCACAGCACTTCTTAGGCCACAAAGTGGTCCTCAGCTTGGAGGTGAGAGAGGGTGAGGGAATCTCATTCCCATGGAAACTTGGATAAGGGGAGGGGGAATTGCAAAAGCCCTCCTTCATTGGAAAACCACTGAGGTCTGTTTAGAGCAAAGTCTTCAGGTACTGAATTTCCAGCAAAACTCTCCAGCTCAACCTAAGGCCTGCAGGGATGAGACACAGAGGTTTCTGAGAGAGGGAATGTAGAATTCTTGGGCTCAGGGACAGGGACGGGTGATAGGGAGGCTGCTGGGGTCGAGTTCCCCCTCCTCAGGTGGCCTGGGTGGGGCTGAGCTTCCATTGGGCTGGAGTATTTGTGTGTCTGTGTTCTGTGTGTCTGTGCTCAGCACTAGAGCGAGGGCTTGGCTTGTAAGGCATAACCGTGATTTGGAAGTAAAGGTTGGATGTTATCCCAGAGCTGGAGGAGAGTTAAGAAAATAAAGAGATTGACAAATGAACTCAGATAACTTTGAAAAGCATGTAAAAGAGTTTTGCTTTCTGAGCTTGGGCTGAAAACAATTTCTAAACTTTCTCAGGGTCCGGAGGGCACAAGATCTGCAGTGTTGAAACCTCAGCTCTTGCACTAATAGAACGTGAGGCCTTCAGCAAGGTGTTTACTTCTGTGGGCCTCATTTGCTCACACATGGAAGGCAGAGACCCAGTCAAGGTTCCAGCCTCACAGGGTGGTCATGAGACCCAAAGGTGGGAAGAGTCCAACCCAGTGACTGGTATCTGCTGGCAGTAAGAGTCCTTAATGGACAATGTGCTCTGCCATCCCTGTCCCCTGCATCCAGGGTAAGTCTCTGGTCTTGTTCCCACTGTCTACACTGGGGAAACCCTGGAGGGCACCCAGTACCCAAGGAGAGCTAAGTGGCCAAGGCGCTTGTCTCTGGACAAGAAACTCGGGACAGAGCCCTCCCTGTGGGCCACTGTGAAGTCTGGGTGTCATGTTTTCCATTTTCCCTGATGTTAGCAACACTAGATTAAGGGGAAGCACACACCTTGGCTGCCCTGGGTGGCACCAGCAGGCCGGGTGGCAGTTGCTGGGAGCCTGAGTGGCTCAGTGGGAGCTTATCTCTGCATCTTTCTCAAGACCAAGCCCAGCCGCTCCCTGTGGTCAGATCCCCAGGCCCTCCCTCCTTTCAGCCATTAGCCAGTCGCCCTGGGGCCTGTCACCCAGCCATAAAGTGTGGCTACAGTTGTAAATGACGGTAGATCTCCCAGTTGGCGCAGGTGGGGCAGCGGGGTTCCAGGGGAGGGCCGAGCTCACCTTCCTTCTTCATGCCAGCCCGGAAGCACTTCTTGAGCCTGCAGTAGCGGCACTGGTTCCTCTTGTCTTTGTCCACCACGCACTGCCGGCTGAATCTGGGGAGGGCTTTAGATGGTTGGGTGGAGAAGACACAGCCTTCTCTCTTAAGACAAATGAGGTCAATCCCTAGCCTCCTTGCTCCATCTCTGCACCCCACGAATTCCCATGCAAACTGGTCAGGAGCTGCAGGATCCTAGGGACTCTCTGAGAGTCTGGTCTACCCTGCCAAACATAGGGAAAGCGACATACAGCCCTGGGTCACTCAGTCGGTTGGCAGCAGAGCTGAGTCGGGAATTTCAGTCTTCTAAGTGCCAGAGGTGTTCTGTCATATCCCATGAGAGTGCAGGGACCACAACCACCCCTGGGCCTGGCTTCAAGTCAGTCCTTGGTCCACAGAGACTCCAGGGCAGGGGTAGGGTTCGAGGTAGAGATGGTGATGCAGGGTGATCTTGGAAGAGCTTGGAAAACACCTTAGCCCTCCAACAACAACTTTCTCATCTATTAATTAGGAATGATAGTAGTGATCAACCCTCAGGGGTACTGGCAGGTGACAATGAGATAATGCACAGGTGAGACGTGGCATGGAATCTGTATACCCCGAGTGCTCACAGCTGACAGCTGCTAAGATCTTATCACTGTTCTTATCCCAAAATGGCAGATGCTTTTGAAAGAGGGATCTCCAAGCCTTAGAAAGCCTTTGGGGTAGGAAGAAAGGCCAGCGCCCAGGTCTCTATTTGTCTAGGAACAAGTGCCCGGTTGGAAGACAGTTCCACGGCTCTTTAGAGTCAGAAAATAGGGCTGCCTGAGCAGATGTTCACAAGGCCTAAGAAACCAGAAGAATCTGGAAGACTGTGAAGGGCAGATGCCTCCAGGACCCACCCAGGGAGAAGAGAGCCCAAGTGCACCCATTTTCCAGCTGAAGAAATCAAGGCTCGAGTGCGGCTCCTCACCTGCAGGAGTACATGTGGTTCTTCCTCACGCTCCTCCGGAAGAAGCCTTTGCAGCCGTCACAGCTCGAGGCACCATAGTGCTTGCCTGTGGCTCGGTCCCCACAGATGGCACAGAGGGCACTGACACCCAGGCCGTTGGGCGCATTAAGGTTGGCACCCTCCGATGGAGATGCATCTGTGCCAGAAGGGAAAGGGGTTAGGACCCGAGAAAGGTGGGAAGTCAGAAACCAGCTTGAGCCTATGGGGATCAGCAGGGGACCAGGGGACTATTTCTGCCCCGTGACCTTGGGAAAGTCACTTGGCCTTTTGGAACCTCAGTTTCACATTTATAAAGGGCCTGCTCCTCCCTCAGGAGGATGTTTGCTCTGCCCTGACTCTCTCAGAGAAACAAACCCCTGGCCATTTCTAGGTGCATTCGGCTGTTCTAGACTCCTAGTTGGGCAGAGGGCGTGGTGGGATAATAAATGCTCGCCAGTGTCCCCCAAACCAGGAGCCATCCTTCTTCCTCACTGAGTGACAGAACTGGGAGAGCCTCAGCTTGTGCCTGTGCCCTGCTGACAGGGCTTGGGGAAGACATGCTCTGAACGTTCACTCCTTTCTTCCAGCACAGAGGGGCATGGCAAGGGCCTGGGCACCTCTCCAATGCCTCCCAGCCCAGGGAAGAGTGACCACACCTTGGTAAATGTGAAGAGGGGAGATTGGTGGCCACCTGCAAAGGAGAGCTTGGCTTGGGTGCCAGGAGTCTTGGGTTCTTGTGCTGATGCTGTCACTAAGCCACCTGTGACCTTGGACAAGTTCCCTTTCCTTACTTCCTTTTTGCCTAAGTCAATTGATCAGTTTGCAGATTAAAAAAAAAAAAAATCAGCAGCTGAGTCCCCTTTTCTGTAAGCAAACTGTCCACCAAGGATAGATTCTTCCCCCCTGCTGAAAAGTAGATATGTGTGCACACCAGAGACCACGCACTTGTGTTTCCATAGAAACTTTGCATCCGGCCTTGGACTCCTAAGGGGATGTCCAGTTAAGAAAGAGATTGTAGCACTGTTATTAAGAGCACATTCTGAAGCTCTTTAGGTCAGGATCAAACCCTAGCTGGCCCCACTTGGTCACATGACATTGGTCAGATTAGTTTATTTCTCATGCCTTTGTGTCCCTGACTGTAAACAGGGTGCATCGGAATCTCTTAGGGAGTTCTGAGGACTCAGTGAATCAATGGTGTGTGTAGTGCTTGGCACAGAGTAAGCTCTAGACCCACATTCAGGGAAGGGACACATCTCTGCAGAAGAAAACTCTCGAAGCAGGAGACTGGCAGCCACACCTCGCTCCTGTTGCCCAGCTGAACATCTCCTAGGCCTCCCGAGTGTGCCCAGGACTGCAGCCCCTCTGCCTGGTGAATTATTCCTGGAGGCAGAGATAATTGTTAAGCTGCCTCAGTGCCCTTTCTCCCCAAGCCTCTCCTCCCCCACCCTCGGGGAAGAGCTGACCCTACACCTTCCTGCCACTCAATGAGAGGCTGGGGAAGGACAGGCTGGGTACTGGGGCCAGATCATCTTCCCCCTGAGGTCAGTCAGCCACCCTCAATCTCCGGGTGAGGACAGTGAGGCTCAGCGAGGGCAATGAATGACCTGTCCAGCATTGCCACACTGCTGCTAAGTAGAGGGCTTGGGTTGCTCGCGGGGGACTGCTCCTGCCACACGGCCCAGGCAGGCTGAAGAAGCTGGGACTTGGGGCTGGAGGTTTAGCTCAGCGGCATAAGCACCTGCCTTGCAAGCAGGCGGTCGTGAGTTCGATCCCCGGTACCGATAAAAATGAAAAAGACAAAAAAAAAAAAAAAAAAAAAAAAGAAAAAAGAAGCTGGGACTTGCCGCTGTATCCCCAGCACCCCAATCACTGTGAATTCCAGTGGAGGACACAGACCCTGCTTAGAGTCCTTGAGGCAACCCAAGTGGGGCTGGGCCAGTCCCCTGGATGCAGCACTAAGGAATCTTATCTTATTTGTCCTCTGGTTAGCCCTGGGAGCCAGATGCTACTACTTATCCCCACTTTATAGATAAGGAAACTGAGGCTCGGGGAGGAAAGTGGCTTGCCAGATTCACACAGACAAGAAAGATCCTTCTGGCTTTAGAGTCCGGGGGCATCTAGCCAAGGGGTCTGGCTTTTGCCCCAGGAAGCCATGATTCCTGGGCTCTTGAGTGGCTGTGCAGTGGCCAGGAGTGTGACAGTACATACTGTCCCTGTGGGGTCACAGGACTCCCTGCCAGTGCAGCAGAAACTTGTCTGTCATTTCCAGTGTGTTTTCCCTTGAGCCGCTCACATGATCCTAGATCTTCTAAAAGCCGATTGGCCAACAGCTCCAGCAGAGCTGTTTTTTTTTTTTAGAAGATACAGAGGCCAAGAGAGGAGGTGATAGGCCAAGGTCACATGGTACATGGATGGTAGGCACAGGTGAGCACCTGGTGAGACTGACAGAGGCAGTGCCCAGCTGACCATTAGCTTTCCAGACCTCAGCCAGGCCACAGCCTGAGGTCACTGAGCCACAGAGCCACAGCAGGAAAGCAGGTGGCCAGCTGGCCTGGAATGCATTAGTCCCTTTTCTAGGATATCCCTGGCTCCCAGGCCTCTTCCTTTCCTCTGCTTCCTTGCAGAGGAAATTTATAGAAATCCATCTGCCACAGAGATGCCCTTGATGTTGGAGTGACTGTATGAATGGGGAGATCCACAAAGTAACAAAGTCTGTTCAGAGACAGATATGTTCCTGACTTGAATCTCGATTGGCAAATGGCAATACCAAAGCTTCCCACTCCGAGTGCACACAAGACATGCACGCTGGCCTGACAATGGGCACACACATCATTCGACAGAGGACATACACATAGAAAGCAAAGGGTACACAAATGTGTCCACATCCACCATCATTTCTGGTCAGCGGCCCACCTAAGTAGCTCACATGTACAAATATCCACTGACACACTGTACATCACCTGCAGACACAAGCTGAACAAACACAGACAGCCCTGGAGACACAAGCACAGGCCTGTTCCATGGAGAAGTACAAATGGGAATGGACACAGAACACAAATATACAAGTACTGTTCCCCAGGTACATGTCTGCCCATGCAGTGTACCACCCCATTCACACACAACACAAACTCAGGATCACACACCCAGCCTCACACACATCTCCTCCATTAGCAAATCTGCCCTGAGAAGTCCATTTTCCTCAACCTCCAGTTCCCCATGAGAGTCCCAGCGACACTCTGAGATGCAGTTATGCCTGTAGCACTGTCGTCACCAGGGACAGGATGTACCTTCCCAGCTCTCTGACCCACACCCAAGAGGGGACCATGTTGGGTTGAGTCACTGGAGCCTGGTGCCCAGAGGGTGCTCCCCATCATGTCTCTGTTGCCAGTGACACATCGAGCGGACAGCTGTGAGGTTACAGGGACCTCAGGGAGACATAGGATCTACTTTTGCTGGAAACTTGTCCCTGGAGGCTCCCCCTCACCCAGCATGCCGCTGGCGGCTGTCTCTGGCCACATTTGCTTCACCTGGCAACACCTGTACTCGCCTACAGAACCAAACTACCATTTTCGGTCATTCTCCTCCCGCCCCAAAGTCAAGGGCCAAAGATCTGCTCCAACACCTGGGCACACCTGTTCCCACTGGCACACCTGCCCCCACCTACCATTGCCCATCGCCAACACCTGCACGTTCTCGAACTCCAGGGTGGTGTAGGCCGGGTCCAGAGCAGCACTGTAGTCAGCCATGTCCATGTCGACCAGGGTTTTGGAGAGGCGCATTCTCCCCGGCCTGCACTCCTCAGGCCCCCACCTTGTACTCGAAGCCCACCCTGATTCCTCTGGGCCGAGCCCCAGCCCCCGCCCTCCGCCCTCCCCCTACCTCCTCCTGGGTCCCTTCTCTGCCTCCCTTCCTTTCAAAGTGTCTTCTGGGAGCCTCTGCACAGGGGTGGAGGCTCTGCAGGGAGGGTGGGGGTTAATGGTTAATCGTCCCGCCACTGGGTAGGCTGGGCGCGGCTGCAGGGATCTGGCTGTTGGTCAGCTCTGACTGACACCCGGGGTGCTAATTACAACTGGGGGGGCCCTAACTCACTAATATTCACTTAGCAATCTTACAAGGTGGGCAGTGAGTCGCCAGCATTCATTTGATCCCTGATTCGGCCACTCCAAGCCATTTCTGTCCCTCACTCTGACACCTACCCGACATGCTGGGCACTGATGTCCACCTCCACGCGCCCTAATTCAGTCACTTCCTAAATCATTGACTTCCACTCTCAGCGCTGTTATAATGATAAAGTTGCCCTGCGGTCCATGAATGGGAAACCTAATCTCAAGCTCAGATACTGCTCGGGTGGATCCTTGAACAGGAGACCTCTCTTCTAGTCTCCCACTGGGCAGGCAGCAGCGCCTCTGGGAGGGCCCCCACTCACCTCGAGCTCCCATCCTGGCTCCCTGCGACCTGCCAGCAGCCTCTGTTGTTCCCAGCTGCTCTGGCTGGGCCAAAGCTCCTCGCCAACTCTGTCCCTTCCTCTTGCTTCGCTAGGCTCCTGTCCCCTCCCCAAACAGCTGAGACAAGGTCTGAAGCCCCACGGGCCTGGGTTTGCATTCTGGCGCCTACCACCTGTGACTCTGGGTCAATGATTTGTCTCCCTGAGCCTCAGTTTGCTTCTCTGTAAAATGTACAATCGCTTTCAAAGGGTGGTTTGAGCATTCAGAAGAAAAACACCTCGCCATGCCTGCCCCCTCCCCTCCTCACTCTCCCCCCTTGCTGCCGGTGTCTGTCCCTGCCATGGGGTGGGATGCATGGATGTGTCCCTGTGCCATCTTGAGGCGTCTCATGCTCAGAATGTCCCCAGGTGTACCTTACTGATCTGCTGCTGCTCTTGACTTCCTCAACAGTGTAGGGAACAAGGGACCTTGCAGTTTGCTTTCAGATGAGGCTTAGAAACTGCACGGCTGTCCCCGCCCCCCCCCATCTTTGGCCTTTGGGTCATGGCTCCTCCTGTTCTCAAGCCCTCCAGCCCCTGCTCTACGGATGCTGCTGAAAGCTCCTGATCCAGCAGAGGAGGAGGTAGGAGAGGAGGATGAAGGTGGAGGCTCGGGAGCCTGGACACCTGTCACATTCTGCTAGTTGCAAGGGCAGGTCAGAGAATGTGGTAACAACAAGCGTGACGGTGAGAGAATGAGAGTCCACTCACCGAGAGGGTGGTGGGTGAACTGGTGAGCCAGTGCTTTGGAGACAAGGAGAATTAATGTGTGAGGTGAGTGAACCCTATTAGCCAGTGGGTGGATTAGTGAGTGAGCGAATGGGTGGGTGAATTGTAAGCAGACTAGAGGGGCTGTGGGTTGAGTGGTGGAAGAAGGCATCCTTACCATCTTCCTCCAACCACTGGATGCCCTTTCCTGGCCTGCTCGGCTTTCCTCTCTTCTCCCCTCCTCCTAGGGCCCAGATGCTGGAGGGAGGAGAGCCATGAAGAGAAAAGCAGCTGGATTTGGTGCCAGGAATCCTAGGTTTAGAAACCGGCTCCCTCACTATTTAGATAGCTTTGTTTAAATTGCATCTCTTCTCAGGGCCTCTGTGTCTCCATCTGTAAAGTGGGGAGATGATCCTGGCACAGATATTTCTTGGCTAGGATAAGATTCTAAGGAAGGGAAGAAGGAAAGCCTCCCCATCAACACCTCAAGATGAATTATTGAAATGAGATCCTGAAGGGAACTTAGATGCTGGTGGGTTCTTCCCATGCTCCGCCCTGGCAACGTTTGGTCATGGCTCCAGCACCCATGGTGGGGATGCAGGGCTGGATGGAAAGGAAAGACTCAACCAAAGAGTGAACACCAAAGTGGCGAGGAGTTCTGGCCAGGCCCTGGCACCTTCGAGGAGCCATGAACAGCTGTTCCCTGCACAACCCAACAATGTTCATCCTACGTATTTGGCAATTCATCAAATGTAAGCGACACACTTCCACATTTTTGCAAGTGGACTGTGATCGCTGGCAAGGCAGCGTTTAATTAGGTCATAAAAACAACAATGCATCTTTCTATAAATGACAGCTTCAATTCGATTCAATCAGGTCTGATCTGCAGGGTCCCCAGGCCATGTGTGAGATACGCAAGGACTACCAGGTGGCAGCTGTCTCCCTGCGATGAGCCGCTGACTGCACAGACTACGACATACATGACTTGCCAAAGGCTCCACGTGCATGACTGCTTAAGGGGCGCATTCCAAACACATGTCCTACCCCATGACCACTTCCCCATAAGCCAGTCCACCCTCGGCAGCTACAGATTGCATCACCCATCACATGCACGACCTGCTCCACCTTTGGCCAACTCCAGACATATTTCCCACATACATGCTTCTCATATAAATGACATCACTGTAGGATCTACTGCTTCTGTGACTTCGGGGGAATGATTCTGAATCACCAGTCTCTCCTACCAAATGGATCTCACCTGCAGTTTTCCAGAAGTATGAAATGAGATAAGGCTGCAAATCCTCAACTGTCCCTCCACTCTCTCTCCTTTATGGGCATAAGTTATGGCTCTTAGATCACAGGCACGATATTTTACCAAGCTGTGACCTCACGTGCTGTTTCTCACACCAGAAAAATGAGGAAAGAAGGCAAATCTGCATCAAGTGTGATGCATGTGTAAAAATACACACCAGTCTCTTTAAGTATGAAAAAATAATGTAAAACATACAGGAACTCTGAAATGTTGATTACAATTTGAAATGACAATTTTTAAATATCAAAATCAATGAAACCAATTATTAAAAGAAAAAGGCTGGGCAGAGTGGTGCACGCCATTATCCCAGCACTCAGGAGGCCGAGGCAGGAAGATCACTACAAATTTGAGTACAGCCTGAGCTGCCAAAGTGAGTTCAAGATCAGCCTGGACTATATAGCAAGATCCTGTCTCAAAAAATAAGAATGGGGTTAAGGCAGCCCATTTGGGACCCCTCTGTCTCTCAGGAGGTATTCCTAGTTCTGAGTCTTTTTCCAAATAAATTTTCCTACTCTTAGACACACGGCCAGTCCTTGGTACTGGTTTTTGCATTCAAGAGTTTGGATCAAAAATAGTAGGAAAAATTGTGTCAGTTCTGAATATGGACAGAATTTTTGCTTTGTTCTTTGTTTATGAGACATGGTCTTGCCATGCTGCCCAGTTGGCCTCAGACTGTTGGGCTCAAATGATCCTCCTGCCTCAGCCTCCTGAGTAGCTAAGACTTCATGGGCACATATGACCATGCTCAGGCTACTGTTCAGATGTCACATTATTCTTTTTCCTCAACAATATAGTATATAATTATTTACATAAAATGCACATGGAATTAATGTAAGTAACTTAGAGATGATTTCAAATAGACGGGAGTATGTCCAGAAGTCATCTGCAAGTGTTACATGATTTTCAAGTAGATCCAGGACTTGAGTCACCGTGCATTTTGGTGCCCAGGCAGGGTTCTGGCACCAGCCCCCCAGGTAACCGTAGAGGGCAGCCATCGTGTTACTGCCATTGGTTGTGGACTCCTTGAGCCACATAAGCTTGGGAATCTGGACCCCTCCTCTGGAGAGCTCTGAGTGTGGGCCTACCCAGCTATGCACAGTCTCTGTCCTCAGTGCCATCTTGAAGCCATCCATTGAGGGCCATCTTTATCCTTGTCCCTTCTCCTTGGCCTTTCAGGCCACAGCTCCAGGGATGGTGGCTCCTAGAGGGTACCAGGACCTCAGAGCTGGCCAGGAGGCCCAGCTCCTCCACTCTGTAGGTGGGGAAGCAGAGGTCTGGCAGAGGGAAGCCGCGAATTCTGGGGCAGCCAACAGGGCGAGGTCACAGCAAAGCCAGCCGCAGGCCGGAAGGAGTGTGGGGCTCTGCAATGGACAGAAGGAAGGGCACTGCCACTGGAGACTGCGCCATTTTTCTTTGAAATGATAATAATGGTAGATATTTACAGAGACATGTTGTGCCAGGCCCGGTGCTGAGAACCTTCAACTTTTCTCATTGTTTCGGATGCCCCAAACACCCTCATGTTACAGATGGTAAAACTGAGGCTCAGAGAGGTGGACAGACTTTCCCAGCCCCGAGGGGCTGCCATCTAGAGTCTGACTCTAAGGCTCAAGGGTTTCACCTCCCCACCAACCCCATTCCCGGAATCCCAGGAGGACATGAGCTCCGGACTGGCTCTTTCTGGTTTAAGCTTCACTGGACTGCTGAGGGACCCAAGGGCCTGAGAAGCCAAGGCCACATTCCTGGGCAGGTGCAAGTCTAGAGACCCCCTCCAGACATCCAGTCACCCCAGGGTGCTGATGCCTCCGCTCCCCTCTTGATGCTATTTCCTATCTGTCCTCCCCACCCGCCACCTGGGCATGGTGCAGGGGAAACCAGGACTTATCAAGACAAAGAACAAAAGTCGTGGGGGAAAGAAGCCAAGAGCCATGTCTACTCTGGGGTAGGGCCCTTCAGTTTCGCCCCTTTGAAATTTCAAATTCCAGTTTGTGGACAAAGTCCTAACTATCTCACAATATAGGTCCCCAACAGCTGACCAAACTCCAGTCCAGGCAGCCACCTGGCCCGAGACTGGCCTGGCCTCCCTTGCTGCCTTTGGCAACTCCCAAGACCCCAGACAGGAGTTCCAGGAGAGCTGGGGTCTCACAAGGCATCCCTGTGCCCCCAGGCAGCCAGTGGGACCCCTGGTTTCCAACCAAGAGGATGGTTTCTGCCTGGAGCTGGGATCTGGCGCCTCCTGATATCCATGGCAGGTAGGTGTCTGCAATTTGGGCCTCTGCTGTCTCTCGGGCTCCTGAACCCTGCTCTGACCACCATGGCTTGTCCCTTTGGTGATGTTCAGAACCTCAAAACCGACGCCCTAACCTGGAAGACAACACTGAAGTCTTTAGAAAGTAGTAGTTGCTGTAGCTTGGGTTGTGGGGCTAGGCTTTATTCCTGGGCCCCTCACAGAGCCCCAGAGGGCAAGAGGGACTTTCTCCAGCCTGCTCAGCGGTGGGGGGAAGCTTGGTCTTCACAAGAAAGACCCCGTCCCTCCCTCAGAAACCATGGGTGACCATGCATTTGTGCACTTGGTGGCTGATGGCCACTGGATTGCCACAAAGTATTTCCGAGAGGAAGACGAGGGAGCTGGGGCTGAAGGCCAGTGGGTTTGGAAGGAAACAACATTCACGTAGTTAACTGATAACTGGCCCCATCCCTGGGCCTCCACTGGCCTCCTTCTCCCTCCCTGTCCTCGGCATGATTAAGATGAACTTACCTGCTTGCTAATCATTGCTCAGACTGTTGATTTTGCCTTAAAAAATTAACTGGGCATGAGTTTGCGGTTTGCCTCACCCCTAACCCTGAAAAGGCTGGGGTGAGCAGAAGGCCGCCTGGGTTATGCAAGAGGCCGCTGGCCTCCCCATGGACATCCAGTGGCCTCCTCTACCGCTCTCCAAAGGGGAGGTTTTGCTCGAGTCAACAGTCTGCCTATGCCCTGCTCTGTGTCCTGAGCAAATTTGCTCTGTTACCAAAGAGAGATAAAGGGAGCAGGGTTGGGGGTGGGGGGAGTTTTCCAAACAGGGATGCGAAGCTGTGGCTTTGAGTTTGGGATAGTAGAACCCTCCTTGAAGCCAGGAGAACTTTTGGGGGATGTGAGCTGGGGCTTTCCAAACTCAACTCTGGAGGTCTCCAGGGCTCAGAGCATGTACCAGGTGAAGTCCCCTGGGATGTGACCTTTCTTAATATTTTCCCCAAACCACTGTCCAGCCTCATCACCTCAGGGTGCAGGAGGCAAGCTGGAGGCCAGAGGTAAAAAAGACTAATCCAAGGACATATGTCACCCTGGGCATCCTGGTCTCCAGCTGGGACAGGGTGATGGGCTCTTGCTGGTGGTCTCGGTGATGTGTTTCAGGATGTCAGGGAGCAGATGGTTCTGCAGATGCCCTTGGCTGCCATTTCTCTCTCCCTCTCAGGGTTGTCTGAGAGCTACTAGAAGGCCCAAGTCAGGGGACATCAGCTGGCCTTGTGTCCTGTGGCCCTGTGAAGAGCAGGACCAGCAGCATGAGCTTGGACCAGGCACTACATATCACAGCTTGGCTTGGTCCTGTCTCTGAAGACATCAGGCCCTTCAGAAAGAGCAGAGTTCTGCCCTGACTCTCTCAGCCCTTATGAGCCTCAGTTTCTTCCCTCGTAAACTGAGAACGACATCTTACTCCTGATGTCATCACAAGAATGAAATGGAGACGTCCGCTGACAGTCATGGCCAATGTGTACAGGCTGTCTGGAGTGCTATGTGCTGAAGAGCTCTCATGTTGCTCAGAAAGGAAAGACGTGGTCTTATCAGCATTTTATGGACCACAGGCATCGAGGGTTTGATAGAGACAGAAATGAGAAGTAGGATTCAGATGTAAGCTGGCCCCATAATCTATGCTCCTAAGCCAAGGTCACGCTGCCTGTTCGGGGCTGAGCACACTAACTCCGACAGATGGTGGCCAGTAAAGGGCCATGGAAGCTGCTCTGGCCAGAGAGCAGGGCATTGTGCGAGATGCTGCTGCCCAGACCCAAGAGGCTAGACAGAGAGGGTGAGCTGGAGAGGGAAGGTCTGTGTGGGTGGGGTGTCCATCTGGGTTGGCTGCTCGCCACCAGGTGGCTTGTGTCATCTGGGTGAGGGTGTTACTGTTCTCTTGTTGATGTTCCTGACCTTATCTGCAGGAGTGACCTTGGTAGTTGGATGGGGCCTGTCCTGTTCATCTGAACCTTAAGGGTCTGCCTTTTCCAAACACTAGTCTTGGGTATGAGGACTGAATTTACAACCTAGAAGTAGCCCTCAACCTTCCTACATTCTGGTTCTGAGGGGCTCCCAGGATTTTCCCGGAGGTCACCGAGGTGGAGTGTTTGGAAGTTCTAAGACTGAGGTCAGGATCATTGTGTACACTTACACAGGCTGCTCACTGCACAAATGTTTTCCACCCAGGAGGGCTGAGTGGGGGTGAAATCCAGCCCTAGTTCTAAAGCCCAGGAGCTCTGCCCGCTAGGGTAGGGAGGATGTTTTCTTCTTATTTACACAAAAGCTGTATGTAAGCAACTGGAAGCCTTGGTCCACCTCCGGTTCCAGCCGCCATCTAACTCTGGGCAAAGTTGTTTCCAACCCCTCCCTTATTCTGCATAAAGCAGGGAGACAATCTAGATAGTGAAACAGAATCATTTTAGATCTTTAAAAATACAGATGATAGCCAGGTGTGTTGGCACACCTACAATATCAGCACTCTGGGAGGGTGAGGCAAGAGGATTTCAAGTTCCCTGGGCAACTCAGTGATTTAATGAGACCCTGTTTCAAAATAAAAAGGGCTGGGGATATAGCTCAGTGGCAAGGCCTTGGGTTCAACCCTTTATACTAAACACAGAGACACAAAAATACAGATGCTTGGGCTGGGGGTGCAGCACAGTGGCATGACATTTGCCCAGCACGTGCAAGACCCTGGGTGGGATCTCCAGCTTGGTGGCACCCAAAACAACAATGAAACTCAGGCCTCAGCACAAACCAAGGGCCAAATCTTGGAGAAGGGTGAGCGGTACGGTATTTTTTTACATTCCCTGATGATTGTGAGGTTCGAGACCCTCCACGGAGGACTTGGCACCCAGAGCTAGAAAGGCCTTGCTATGGGGTCCCAGGTTTTATAGCTTGCTGTAATTTCATAGTGGAAACTTCTGTGAGGTTCAGTTGCCCCATCTGTAAGATGGCACTGGTGACAACCCCCCTCATAAGATCAGGGGTCTTAAATCAATGGGTAGCCGGAGATATAGGCACAGCGCCTGCCTGGAAAGCGCAAAGACCTGAGTTCAATTCCTGGTACTAAAAAATAAATAAAATAAAATCAATAGGTGGCATCCACACAGCACATGGCACCACGTGCATCACAGCAATGACTCTTGGTTCTTGGTGCCAATGACTGCCATCGTTGTTACTGGCAATAAGACACTGACTTAAAATAAAAGGCTCTCTTAGGTCAAGGATTCAGTGACATGGACCCAATTCCTGGAAGATGGGTGGCAATCTTGGCTGTGCATCTCTTGGATTATTAAAGTATGTGGGGCCAGGGGTGGTGGCACACACCTGTAATCCCAGCATTCAAGAGGCTGAGGCAGGCGGATCGCAGTGAGTTGGAGGCCAGCCTGGGCTGCCTAATGAGTTCAAGAGTTCAAGGCCGGATTATTATCAACTCTTTCACCTAATTTGTCAAAATTTTTACATTCATTTTTGAGTCATTATTACATTCCCACGGCTCAAGATCACAGTATAAAAAGGCGCCTGTCAGGAAACTCACTTCCCCGCCTCCTGCCCATCTGCTCACCCAACTCCCTCACAAATCAGTTCCGGGGCTCTTATGCATCTCCTGAGCTTTCTCCAACACCGCACAGATGTCTCAGAAGCTCTAAGAGTGCGCATCACCGCCCCCACTCTCCTGCTGGAGATTTCTCCACAGCGCTTGAGAGCAGCTTTGTGTGACAGTTGAGGAAACAGGCTCCGAGGGGAATGCAGTTTTCTCAGTAAGCCGAGGCCACTGTGTGATCCGCTGTCCCCGGCTCCAGGGCAGCATTTGTCCATGCACTGACGTGGCCTTCCTGGAAGCCGGAACCAGAGAGCTTTCCAGCCAGGCCTAATCCTCTCTGGTACAGGCCTGGCCTTCCTAGGCAAGAGGGTGGGTGGGTCGGATAGGCTGCAGGGGCCCCCTGTGTCTCAGCACTGAACAAATCATTCAAGTATGGGCTTAGCGGGTGGGTGTCCCCTGGGTGGGGCGAGGGGCCTCTGTGTCCTCCCGCAGAAGCCTCCCAGGACGCTCAGTGTTGGACTGTGTGGGTGACAGGGAGGAAAGGAGGGGAGGTGGGGATGGGAGCCCAGAAGACAGGTCCTAGGGAACAGGTATCAGGGGGAGCCCTTCCTGGGGCGGCTTCAGAATTCAAAATGGAAGTGGCGAAGAGATTTTTAACCACTATTTCTACCCAGGTGCCCTCAAGGTTCCCTCTGGATTCTCCACCTGCTTCAGTTCACTGACTTTGGGCAAGTCACCTTCTCACCTGTGCCTCAGTTTCCCCAAATGCAAAATGATTAGACAGGTGCTCTTTGGTGGCCTTGGAGCACCCTTAAAGGACTCTCTAGGGGCCCCCCTCATTTTACTGGGAAGGTCTGAATCCTGTTTTGACCGGATATAATTCACCCAGCAGAGCCCTCGTACTTTGTGGGTTGGGGCTGTGAACCAAGCCCAGACTCCTGCCCTGGGTTCCTATCTCTCCTGCTACCCGTGCTTGCTTCCCTCTATGTGGCAGTAGAGAGGGGGCCCTACCTGGCGCTTCCTGGGGGAAGCCCCGGCCCCTGTGTGACATCCTCCTCCTGGTGCTCCGGGGCCCTGCACACGGGGCAGCCTCTTCATCCTTGAGCTGGCTTCTCTTCCCACCCTAGCACTCAAGGCCCTGTGAGGGCTGCCGGACAGTTAATCCCTTAATGCTGGTCACAATGGGATTTTGGGGGTAGTGGGAGGTGGTCTCCATGGAAACTACCGCCCAGCCTAGGACCCATGCAAGGACTTAGCCTCAGGACTCAGCTGAAGTTTGCAGAGACCCAACCCGGCCACCTGCTGTCTCCAGGTTTTCAGCTAAACTTGAGGGTGACAGTTACAAGCATGGTCCTGTCCAGTTCTGAGCTCAAGGTCTTCGTTCTTGATTTGTGGGGCCAGTCCTCAGCCCAGCAGCTTTGCTAGAAGAGTGCAAGCTTCGGTGTCCACCAGAACTGAGTCTGAAGCTGGGCTTTCCCTCTCCAACCGCCCTAGCCCCTGCATTTCACTTTTCTGAATCTCAGTTTCTCCACCTGTAGGACGGGCACAATAATGCCACTTGGCAAGACTTTTGGGTCTACCTTCTGGGTAGTGACAGTAAACCCTCCAGACTACACCGCATACTCTTCTTGACCACCTGCAAAACTCCTGGCCTTGCTCGTCTCCAGCAGAGCTGTCCCCCTCTCTGCAAGACCTAGCTCGTCATCTTCCTCCATCCACACCAGGCCCCAGAGCTCTATAGCATCATGGATTGACCCAAAGGTGACAGCTTCCCCTCTGGACTGTGTCCCACTGACCCTGCTACACCCAGGTCCCAGGTGGCATTTAGTGTAAATGCATCGACTGAATATGTGAGTGGATGAAGGAATTTGTCCACACAAACATTCACCACCCATTTACCACCTACGTGGGCATCATTTTGAGTGTTGGCTATGCAGCAATAAAAGCAGTGGGCAAGACCCCTCCCTCCCAGCACTGCAGGCCAGCGAATCAAACACAGGCTGAGCTGGGCAAGACTGTGCATGCCTGTTATCCCAGCACCGTGGGAGGCTGAAGCAGGAGAATCTCCAGTTTAAACTCAGCCTGGTCAATTTAGCAACTCTGTCAGACTCTTACTCAAAAAAAAAAAGTTTTTAAATGCTGGAAATGTAGCTCAGTGTGAAGGCCCTGGGTTCACTCTCCCAGTACTGGGGAAGGGAGAGAGGAGACAAGACTGTTAAATTGGTATTTCGGTTAACTAGTGACTGATTTTTAAAAGCATAAGTATGTCCCTAACAATGCATGATTCCACTTAAAAAGTTTGTGCTTTATCTCACATCAAATGGAACTGAGGTTCGATTCCCTGGGCAAGGATTCCCTAGATCACTTGGCTTATATTTTGGTGGGAAGGTGAAGCAAAGACAGGCAATGCGCAAGTTCAAGAAAAACAAGTAAATTTCAAGACACGGTTAAGTGTAGCAGAAACTAGGCAACAGCACCGCGTGCCAGCACAGGGACAAGCAGGGGGCATCTTTAAACAGGGTGATCTGAGCCGGTGGCCCCTGGCTGCAGTTCAAGGCGCTGCCCTGGAAAGGTTCTCTGCGGCGGAGTCAGCCCCGTCTTGTGGGCTATGAGCCACCGAGGGCGCTGCTGAGGCGAAGGGGTGATGATCTTGGCTGTGGGCTTTGCAAATCTTCGAGAACACGCAGCCCCACCCCTGGGACCATCCAATGTCCTCTGTGGGGCAGAGGGCCAAAGGAAGGGGCCAAAGGAGCTGTGCAGGGAAGCGTGACCACCTGGCCAGAGCCTGGAGCCCCTGACACACTTTGCCCTGTAGCACCCGAGAGTCGGTGCGCCGGCTACGAGAGTCGAAGGGCGGCTGCGAGGAAGCGCTTCTCGGACTCCCTCTCGTGGCCAGTTCGGACACTAGCGCTCAGAAACTTGTAGAGAGCTACGCGGTTTTCACCAATCAGAGCGCAGGCCGCGATACAATCCCACCAATCACAGACCCAGACGACGTCACTCTAGTTCCCGCCCAATCTCGCAGGCAAGATCATCACCAATCAGTACGCTCGATTTACAAACCGGCTCCTAGGTTGTTCTCAGCGCGGGCTTCGGCTTCTCTGAAACCTCTGTGGCCAATGTCGGGTGCCTGCATGTAGGCGCCTTAGAGCCGGGTCCGAGGCTTTGTGCGGGCTCCACAGGGAAGCCCACGCTTGCACTCAGGGGGTATTGATAAAGATATTACCATCATTAAACACCACCCCTCCTCCATTATGAAAATTGATGTATGGGTGGGAGGGCTTGGCAAAAGTGTGACCCCGGGAGAGAGACGCTGGAGTAGGACAAGACCCTTCTCTGGTGGTTAAAATAACAGTTACCCCACCTGTTATAACCCGCAGCCCATCTCAGTTATCCAGGCCCCAATCCTGGAAGTCACTATCTTTGTGTCCTCCCTCCTGCCCCACCCAAACCATCTGAAAACCCAGTGCTTGTGTCTCCGACAGTATCACGAATTTTCATCTTTCTGTCTCCATCACCTCCATCGCTGGAATCTGCTAAAGGCTCTTCCCTTCCTTCCCTTCCCTCCCTCCACTGCACCAGGCCCTCTCCAGCCAGGGCCCAGGTGGTGACCTCGTACAAACAAGCAGAGAATCGCAGCCCTCTCCTACTTAAATGTTTATGGCTTCCTGTGCACTCATCATACAGCTCATGAAACCCTGCAGGGCTGTGAGGTGGGGCAGTCTCCTCACTGTGTCCCCACATCTTTGAGTTCCTTTCATCCCACTTGGCCCCATCTAGGGCAGCCACTACTGCCCTGACCTTTCCTGCCCCTTCTTTGGTCTCAGGGCCTTGGCATGTCCTTTCCATTTCCTTCTACCTGGACTATAATTTCTTGCATGACTGACAAAAAATCCTCCAGACTGGGGACTCGTTTGTCCTCTGGGAGGACTTTCTTACATGATTAACTAGGTTCTCTGCGTCCCTGTGCTCTTTATTTATTCTCTCTCTCTCTCTCTCTCTCTCTCTCTCTCTCTCTCTCTCTCTCTCTCTACTTTCCCAGAAACTTCAATTTATTTTAGAAGGAAAGATTATTATTGCTACATAGTGAATCACTGGTATCCTAAGTAGAAGATAATGGAAAATAAATAATGAAATAAACCAGTTACAGTATATTTTGATTCAACACTGTTTGCTTGTCAAAGTTTCTGCGCAAACTTTTGTTAAAAAGCAAAGACCACATAAAGCTGTGAAATGGCCAGAATGTTTGGAAGCAGCACAATGTTGAGGCTGAAGATACAAATTCCAGAAATTGACCTACTGGGCTTGAGTTCTGGTTCTGCCAAGGACTAGCTGTGTGGCCCTGAAAAAGTTACTTAACTACACGGATTCTGTTTTCTTTTTCTATCATTCTTTTCTTTTTGCAGGGAGGTGCTGAGGTTCAAACCCAGGCTAAGTTCAAACACACGCTAAGTATTTGCTCGCTCACTGAGCCACTCAGCCAACCCTGTGTCTGTTTTCTTATCTGCAAAATAGGGATGCAAAATGTGTGTGTCATTGGATGGTTGTGGGAATTATTGGTGTTCATGCCTCTAAGGGGCTTAGAACCAGGGCTGGCACATGGCGAGCTCTGGAGGGTGTTAGCTGTCTATCAAGGCGGGATGCAGACCCCAATAATTTTGGAGATGTTTAAACTCAGTGGAAGGGAAGAAAAACTTTTCCACATCGGTAAGACTAAATCACTTGGATGGTGCAGATGGGGAGATCCACCTTAGGAGCAACTGACCTGACAAAGTCCTGGAGGGTTTGCTTAGTGCTGCTGACCATACCTAGCGGTGTCTTGAGTGAGAACACAGAGCACAGGCCATGTGTGGACAACTGCATGTGCTTTTGATTTTAACAGGGATACTTACAATTCTCCCAGCATGGGATGAGGTGAGGAAACTATGTACTCTGAAGAATAACTGAAAGTGAAGGAGGTTTGGGCTGGGTTCTGGGGAAGAGGAGAGAGCCCTTGGAGTGGAGTGTTCAGGGCGCAGCCCTTGAAATATATCAATGGGTCTTTTATGTAGCCGCATTTGGCCTTGTGAAAGTTATAAGTCCATCAAGACTTATTGCTTCATTTATAAGATAGGAATCAGTAATAGGGCTTCTTTATTGATTGCTTTGCAGAATAAGTGTGATAAACCATCTACACCTGGCAGGTAACTGCCCAGCACGTAGTTACGTTATTTACTGGATTCAAAGTTCTTTTCCCTGGAAAAGAAGCCTACTGATTCCGACAGCCCCAGAGGAGGAGCCAGGACCAGCAGAGAGGTGCTATAGGGAGGAAAACCTGGGCTCAGAATGAAGAAAAGAACTTTCTGTTGCGTACAGTTGTTCTGCTACCTAGGAGTCCACATCTTGTCACTGCAGGAACCAAGCAAAGCTTAGTGTCACCTGTCAGTGAGTGTAAGGAGAAAATCCAGCAAGTCATGGAACAAAAGTCCTAAATAAAATGCTATCAAAACCAAATTTGCATCAAGAATATTGGATATCCACATGCAAAGGAATGGGTTTGGAGTCTTACATTATTATGCAAAAGTTAACCAGAAATGGATTAAAGACCTAAAACCATTAAAATATAGAGGGGAAAGCTTCATGACATTATTTGGCAATGGTTTCTTGGATATGGCACAAAAAGCACAAGCCACAAAAGAAAAGATAGAAATTTGGGTTCCATCAAATATAGAACTTTTGTTTACCAAAAGACACTGTCAACAGAGAAAGGAACAAAAATATTAACAAATCATGCACCTGATAAGGCATTAATATCCAGAATATTTAAAGAACATCTACAACTTAAAGATGGACAATAGGTCCAAATAGACAATGCTTTGAGGAAATTATACAGATGACTAGTAAGCACATGAAAGAAATGCTTAACATGACCAACCACTAGGAAAGCGCAGATCAAAACACAGAGACACCATTGCACACCCATTTGTGTGGATGTTGTGAAACAACATTAGAACAGAAAATTACAGGTGTTGCCAGGGATGTAGACAGCTAGGGAAGGAACCTGTGCACCACCGTCGGGGATATAAAACAGTGTAGCTTCTGTGGAAAGCGAGTGTGGTGATTCTTCAAAAAAATTAAAAGTAGTAGCATGACCCAATTGTTCTGCTCCTCATTGTACGCCCAAAAGAGCTGAAAACAAGTCTGCTATGAACGTGGACACTCCTGTTTCACAGCAGTATCATTCTCGATAGTATCCAACAGAGGACAAAGATAAATAAAATGGAATATTATTCAACGTTAAATAAGAAGGGAAATCTGACCCATGCTACCACATGAATGAACTTCTCATACATTATTCTAAGAAAAATAAGCAGGTCCCCAAAGGACAGACACTGTGTGATCCCACTAGTGTGAGGTGGGGTTGCTGAATTCATTGATGTGACACTTTGCAGAGGTAGAAAATAGGAGGGTGACTACAGAAGCAGCGGAGGCAGGGCTGGGGATTTGTTTCTAATAGAGTTGACTTCAATAAGAGAAGATGAAAAGCACTCAGGAGAGGGGAGGGGAGGCTGTCCAATGCCCCTGGGATTGTACATTTTAAAATGGTTACAGTGGTCAATTTTGTGATGTGTGTTTTCCCACAAATTTTAAAAATTGTAACATTGTATGAGATACATATACTGCATGATGACAGGGTTAGTCCTATTCCAGGAAAGCAAGGATGGTTTAACACTGTAAAATTGATGAATAAATTAGAAGATTAAAGGAGAAAAATTGTGATCATCTCAGTAGATGCACAAAGAGCAATTAAGATAAATTAGTGTCGTAATTAACAAAGGAACAAACAAGGCAAGCATGGTGGTGTACGCCTGTAATCTCAGTGCTTGGGAAGCTGAAGCAGGAGGATCATGGGGAGGTCAAGGCCAAACTGGACTACACAGTGAGACCCAGTCAAAGGAGAAAGAGAAAGTGATGGCAGGGAGGTAAACGTCTAACTTAGAATAAACTGTGATAGCCCAATAAACATTACCCAGCAGTATTCCAACTCAGATGTTATACTTCAGAGAACAGAAAACGTCACCCGCAGAGGGTGTGAACTGTGCTGCACTGTGTACTCGTCCTACAATAGAACCTCGTATTGGGCAAATGGGTGGATCCCCAAAAGACCTATCCTGAGAACCTCAATGTGTATTCTGCCTAAAAATATCAGAAATGTGGTGTGGCAGTATCCATGAATTTTTAAAGAGAGATAGTATTTTTTTTCCTTTTGAGATAATCTCACTATGTAGCCCAAACTGGCCTTGAACTGGCAGCAATCCTGCCTCAGCCTCCCATGTGCTGTGTGCACCACCAGGCCTTGCAAACTTACTGTTTTGTTTTGATTTGGGGGTTTGTGTTTGTTTGTTTTGAAGAAAACCAGTTTCTGGTCAGCCTGGGCTACATTGTAAATTCAAGCGCAGCCTGAATTATATAGCGAGACCAAAAACAAAAAAACAAAAAAAGAAAGAAAATCATGACTTATTTTGAGCTTGTGGGAGCCACTGTACTGTTAAGACATTGAATTCAGGGCTTGGTGCATGCTAAATAAGCAGCTCTACCACTGAGTCACAGCGCCCAGACTTCCTCTTTTTATTAGAGCAGGTTCATAGTAAGAGTTCCCAGCAGACAAGCAAAATAAAAAAGAATTCAATTTGTTCCCAATGCCACTTTGGCTCTTTCTCCCATTTGATGACAGCAAGCCTTTACAGAACCTTCTGAGCACAGCAGGAGGAGGCTCACTTAACACCTAGCAGAGGGAGAAAGGGTCAGGGGGGCTTCCACCTTCACTTTACAGACAGAGCAAGGACTCAGGGATCCCCAGCTCTGCAGCACAGGGTCTCAGCCCCCCACTGGAAGGGATCCTCACTGCCCAAAGCTCCCTGAACTTCTCGCATCTCTGCCCGGCAACATTGGCACTGCCTTCTCCAGTAACAAACTCTACCGCTGTAGCAGGACCCATCCTCCAAAGTCACTCCATTTTATCTCCAGACAAACTCCCATCTGCCCTAGGAAGAGCAAAAACTAAGCCTCTCTCTCTCCATCCCAGCTCCACCCCTTCCACGGACTAGAGATAAAAGAATGGTTGTGTAATTAAGTTTTAAATTGACCATTGTTTTATGTGAGTGTCTGATTAAGGGCACACAATGGCTGTCAGATGGGGAGAGGAAGTGGGGACTCCTACCATGGACTATGCTGGAGGATGTATTTGGAGCTCTGGAGCCTGGGTCCTGCAGAGATAGGTGGCCAGGCAGCAAGAATGAGGACCCCAGAGATAACTGAGGGCTGAGGAGCAGACTCAGGCAGGGAGGGCACAAGCCCAGCAGCTTCAGGCATGGGAAATGGAGGCAGAAGGGTTAGCAATGAATTTCATCACTGGCGTGGAGTACAAGAAATTAGAGTACCACTTTCTAAAACCCATGTGAGCCACAGGTAGAAGTTTAAATGCTCTAACAGCCAAATAAAAAAGCAGCGAATTGCTGGGTGTGGTGACACACACTTATAATCTCAGCATTTGGAAAGCTGAGGCAGGAAGATTGCTTCAAGTTAGAGGCCAGGCTGGGCTACAGAGTGAGTTCAAGGTCAGCCTGAACTGCAGAGTGAGAAGACAAAAAAATAAAATTAAATAAATAAGTAGCAAGCCTATGAAATAGGAGATTGCTTTTACAAGTAATGAGTTTCTCCATAGTCGTAGCAACCAGGGATCCCAAACTCAACAGCCCTCAATGCACAGAGATAACTAAAAATGTACGGAACAGGGGAGTGTAAGCCAATTTCACACTCATTAAAAAGTGCCACATGAATAATGCTTTATGTTTATTAGTAGAGCTTCAATGTCTGCACACTAAGAAACAGTAGGGACTGGAGTAAATTAAGAGAAAATACAGGGAACCTAAATTACTTCTGACAGACCCTTCCTCACGGGTATGGGAAATCAGCCAACAAGAGCATAAGAGCTTCTGTTTGTTTGGTTGGTTTTTAAAGAAGATGTAAGTTGTAGTTTTTAAAGGTTAACAATTCAAGTTTTATGAAATAAAAACATATTGGTCCTTTAAACTCTGCATCATATCCTGCAGAAGAGGAAACTGAGGCTGAGCACTCAAAGATTTCCCCAGTTCACAGCAAAGGCCAATAATTAGCTCGGTGGCTTCTCAGTCCGGGTCATTTCTGCTAGGAAGCTAATGCAGACACTGATTGTTCGCTTCTATTACTGAGGGTTTGTTAGGTGTCTCGTTCCGTGCTAAATGTACTGGGGTGACACCACAAAGGAGCACTGCTCAGGGTGCCAGATGTAAGAGGGGGCAACTATCGCTCAGAGAGGTGGAAAAAATCGCTCAAAATCATGTTGTGGGTCTTGAATGTGGGTTTATGTTTCTTGTTTGTTCCTTTGTTTTGTGGTACTGAGGAATAAGCCCAGGGCCTCCCACAGAGCTATATCCCAGCAATCTGTTTATTTTGAGACAGGTCTAAGTCACTGTATAACCCAGGCTTGGCTTGATCCAGCTTGCAATCCTCCTGCCTCAGCCTCCCGAAGTGCTGGGATTACAAGCCTATACCACCCCGTCTAACTCTGGGTCTGTGTTTGATTATAAAATTCTAGATGCTTGTTCCTGCTACACTGCCTTTCACCCTATCAAGCAGAAGAATCCCAGACACCAGGTAACTGGTGGTTTTCACCTGCAGCTGTCCTGCAGGACAAGGGGCTCAGGAGGGTGCAGCCTCCTGCTCTCTGACACTTTTATAACCTAGTAGACTCCATTTCATTGTTCCTGTGTATTGGTTTCTAGGGAGGATTTCATTTGGGGATAGAATCCAACATCTTTTTGGCTTTGTTTTAATATTAAAAACCACTGATGTATCTGTGGTATCTGAATTTATAGGTGAGGAAATGAAGGCCCAGGGGACCCCAAATGCCCAGGACTCCTCTGCAGGTGCTGAGTCCTACTTCTAGCACTGAGTCTGACTGGGGAGCTGCCCCAGCCATCAGGGGCTCCTTCCTGGAAGGACACCTGCCCCAGGTTGTCTCTGTCTCCTCTGCCCTTTCTCTGCCTATTTGAGTAACTTTTTGACCTGTTCCTCCACGGGCACTTCCTGAGGTGTGGCTGCCTCTGCTGTTGGACCCAGGGAATCCTGGGGCCTTGGGAGTGCAGCAGCCAGGGTCAGCCAGTCCCACGGCAGACAGTTGTCAAACAGTGGCTGTCTGGGCAGAGGGAGGCCTGTTTACCCAGGGAAGGGCCTGGACAGGGGCTGCCACTTCCTCCCCAGACCACTAGGCTGTCCAGCTGCTCGGCAGCCTGACTCAACTGTCCCCATCTGTGTGTGCTCAGTCTGCAAATATTGGACTACTGTGTGCCCAGCACTGTTCTTCACTCGGGGATACGGCAGACAGCAAGGCAGTCATGTCCCCTGCTCTCCTGGAACCTGCACGGCATCGTAGTAAAGTAGCCCAGGGATAAACAGATTGTCAGAGCTTAATT